TGAGAAATCAGCTGACAGTTGTATGGGTAACTAACTGCTTTTCTCTTGCAGCTTTTAAGATTCTATGTTTTTAACCTTTGGCATTTTAATTATGATGTGTCTTATTGTAGGCTTCTTCAGGTTCATCTTGTTTGAGACTCTGTACTTCCTGGACTTGGGTGTCTATTTTTTTCTCCAGGGTAAGGGAAGTTTTCTGTCATTTTTTCAAATAGGTTTTCAATTTCTTGCTCCCTCTTCTCTTTTGAGCATCCCCATTGTGTGAATGTTGATACACTTGAAGTTGTCCCAAAGGCTCCTTACACTATGTTTAATTTATTTTGTTTTTTATATTTTTATTGATTTCAAAGAGAGAGAAACATTGATGAGAGAGAATCATTGATTGGCTGCCTCCTGCACGTCCCCTACTGGGGATTTGAGACTGCATCCCAGGCATATGCCCTTGACTGGAATCGAAACCAAGACCCTTCAGTCCTCAAGATGATGCTCGACTGAGCCAAACAGGCTAGGGCAGTGGTCGGCATTCAACAGAGCCAAATATCAACAGTACAACGATTGAAATTTCTTTTGAGAGCCAAATTTTTTAAACTTTAACTTCTTCTAACACCACTTCTTCAAAATAGACTCGCCCAGGCCAAGGTATTTTGTGGAAGAGCCACACTCAGGGGGCCAAAGAGTCATATGTGGCTCGTGAGCCACAGTTTGCTGACTACGGGGCTAGGGCTTTTTTATATTTTTGGGTTCTTAATTCTTTTTGCTGTTCTGATCTGGTGTTTTTGTTCTCATATTTTAAATTGCTGATTTGATTTTTAGCGTCTTCTACTCTATTGTTGATTCCTTGTAAGTTTTTCATTGCAGTTAGTGCATCTTTCTTTTTTGAATGGTCCTTTTTTATGTCGTTGATTTTCTCACTAAATTCCTTGAAGTTCTAAGTTCCTTGAGCATCCTTATAACCATTGCTTTGAATTTTGAATCTGGTAGTTTGCTTGCTTCTATTTTATTTTTATTTTTCTGGAGATTTCTTTTGTCCTTTCATTTGTGACATGTTTCTTCGTGCATTTTGGCTGTTTCCCTGTCTTTGTTCTATGTATTAAGTAGAACAGCTATATCTCCTGAAGTTGGTAGAATGGCCTTATGTAATAGAGTCTGTAGGGCTCAGTGGCTCAGCCTCCCCAGTCACCTGAGATGGGCACTCAATGTGTGTCCCTGTATGGGCTATGTGCATTGTCCTGTTGTAGTTGAGACTTGATTGCTATTGGTACCACTGGGAGGGATTGACCCCCAGGATCATCAGCTGTTCAGACCACCTGCGACTGTAGCAGAAGAGCTGCTGTGCAGGAGACACCCCTATAGAGTAGGACTTGTTTTAGTAGGGTTTTGGTGCTCACTGAGTCTATCCTTTGAGTGTGTTGCTCTTGAATATGGTAGGGTTGTAATATGGGATGATCTGAAGCTGACCACTGGGTGCACTGGCTCTAGGGCCTCATGGGAGGTGCAAAGTCAGCTACTAGCTGTTCCCTACCTTGGACCACTATGCACAAGCTACAAAGTGATCTGCAGACGACTGCTACTTAGTCGTCTGCAGATCACTTTGTAGCTTGTGCATGGGCTTGGAATTGCCTTGGTGGTCAGCTTGTTGGGCTTGGAATTGCCTAGGTGGTGATAGCATTAAGGCTAACAATATACTGTTCTTTCACTTAATTTATTCTTAGACATTTTTCTGATTTTCTTTGTGTGTGTGTGTGTGTGTGTTACACTGCCATATTTTTACAGAGTATTGGGAATTAAACATAGAAAACTGTTTCCCACCTCAAAGATTTCTTCTTGAAGATAGAAAAGCCATAGGTTAATTTTAGGACTGTGGCATAATTTTACTTATTTATTTACTTATTTACTTATGCCTTTAAGATTAAGGGTATTGAATGATACTTTTCTTTAGTACATAATCATGAGATTTCATTGTTGTTTTGAGTATACATTAGATATTCCAGTGTGATTTAAGATGAAATAGCAAATTTAAATCAAATGTATCAAATGGTTAGGTCTCCAACAAGATCCATAGGAGGAAAATGCAGAGGCAGCCCTAGTTTACAAATGTGTTGGCACTTTTGTTTTCCTAAAGAAACAATGTAGTTTAGTCTTATGTTGAATAAGCCTTAGCCAGTTTGTAAAGGACCATTTAAGCTGTAATGTTTTTAATACAGTATTGTACTAATATCTCTACTAGAACCTCAGAAGTATCGATATAACCATTTTTCCATAAGTGGGATTCCATTATTTAATCTTGTCTTGTTTCTTTAGGAGGTAGTTGCTTTTCCCTAAATCAAGCATATATAAACTGTTCTTAGCATTTGGAGAGTTTGTTGGGATGAAGAAGATACAATCTATGGAATTGACAAAGAATTTTTTTTAAAGGTGGTTTCTGTGGGAGGCCAGCCCACTGTCTCCTCTCCTGGCCCACGCTCAGCTGCAGAAGCTGCAGGCCGGGCCCCCTATCCCTGTCCGTGTCAGCTCCGGCTCCAGGGGGCTGGCCTGAGCCAGGCATGGTGGGTGACAAAGCAAGCATTCCACCAGGTCATTCACACTGCCCACTCTCAGTGGCCTCCCCCCTCCCGGGGGACTCTGGTGGAATGAGAAGACTGGGCACATCTTGTGGCTATGGGCACTGCCGTTTTTGTGACAGGATGGCAGTTAATTTCCATTTTACCCTTTTATTAGATAGGACTAGAGGCCCGGTGCATGAAATTTGTGCACGGGGTAGTCCCTCAGCCCAGCCTGCACCCTCTCCAATCAGGGACCCCTTGAGGGATGTTAAACTGCCCATTTAGACCCGATCCTACCTGCAGTTGAACATCCCTCTCACAATCCAGGTCTGCTGGCTCCCAACTGCTCGCCTACCTGCCTTCCTGATTGCCCCTAATTACTTCTGCCTGCCAGCCTGGCCACCCCTAACTGCCCTCCCTACAGAGTTGATTGCTTCCAACTACCCTTCCTTGCAGGCCTGGTGCCTCCCAACTGACCTCTCCGGCTGGCCATTACTGTATATTGCTGCATATTACTCTTTTATTAGATAGGATAGAAGCCTGGTGCACAGGTGGGGGCCAGCTGGTTTGCCCTGAAAGGTGTCCCAGATCAGGGTGGGGGTTCCCTTGGGGTGTGGGTCTGCCTGGGTGAGGGGTCTGTGGTGGTTTGCAGGCCATCCAAGCACCTCTCCCCTCCCCCATACTCCCCTCTTGTGACCCAAGCTCAGGCCCTGGTATCTGGAATTTATTTACCTTCTACAATTGAAACTTTGTAGCCTGGAGTGGAGCCAAGCCCCCTGCTCACTCAGCTGCTGCCATTTCTGTTTGGTTTTATGTATCTTCTATAATTGAAACTTTGTAGCCTGGAGTGGAGGCCGGGGCTGCCCAGGGTGTGTGGAAAGCTTTGTTTCCTCCATTGCTGGGGGCAGCCCTCGCCTGTTCTCTCCAGCTCCATGGCTGTGCCATTTTTCTTGGGACTTATCTTCTATAATTGAAATTTTGTAGCCTTGAGTGGAGGTCTAGGCCAGCCAGGGTGTGTGGAAAGCTTGGCTTCCATTGCTGGGGAAACCCAGATCTCAACTGTTCTCTGTGGCTGCAGCCATCTTGGTTGGGTTAGTTTGCATATTTATTATGTTGGCTGGTGGGTGTGGCTTGAGCAGGGTAATGGTCAATTTGCATATTAGTCTTTTATTAAGTAGTTTGGTATTAGTTTTATTACCCTTTTATTAGATAGGATGATATTAGTTTTCTTCCAGTAGTTGATTTGATACTTAGCTTTTATGTTGCTCACTTTTCTCAAATGTATGATTTTTTTAAAATATATTTTATTGATTTTTCACAGAGAGGAAGAGAGAGGGATAGAGAGTTAGAAACGTCAATGGGAGAGAATCATCGACCAGCTGCCTCCTGCACACCCCCCACTGGGGATATGCCCGCAACCAAGGTACATGCCCTTGACCGGAATCGAATCCGGGACCCTTCAGTCCCCAAGCCAACGCTCTATCCATTGAGCCAAACCAGTGCCGGCTCAAATGTATGATTTTTGTGTGTCTTTTTTTTAATCTTTTTGTATTTGATCAAGCCTGTCTAAATTATTACATCTAGTGATTGTGGGAGAGTTGTGACTTGATGCTGGGAAGAATATATCAATCTAATAGTGAATATGAGGATTTCCTGTTCATATTCTTTCTCTCCAGCACTGTTTTTTGATTCATTTGCCAACATATGTAGTGCAGATATTTCCTTGCTTGGCAATGGTAGAGGAAGAGGATCCATTAGCCGGCTGTTCCTAATGCTATTACTCTAAGGATTTCTAAAGGATTCTCTCGTCACCCATAGCTGTTTTAAATGAAACATGGTTTGCAGTTTACTTCTGCTGTGGTTAGGCTGTGGTGTGCTTTCTTCAATTTCATTTCTTCCCATTAGTCTTATGTCTTCTATTGCTTTATACAGTACTGTTATAGTTTATTCTTATGGCTTTATTCTGTTAATATATTTAGCCTGTAATTTTAGGGTGTAAGATTGGAGGTGACCATGTCAAATGTACTCCATTCATTTTGATGTTATCTTCTGCCTGTAGTTCTTAATTTTTTGAAACCCATTGAAATCTCTGACCATTTGGTGAATTTTATATACTCTCATCCTGTTTTTTTTTTAATTCAAGTGCAGTTGTCTACCATTTGTACCCAAAGCAATGGCCAAATGTTAATTTAAACATTAGTAGTTTTGTAGACATTGAGCATAGCTGGGTTGGTAGTCATAGGGGCAGGGGAGGGTGCACTTTCTTTTTAGTTAGGTATATTAGAGGAATGAGCCGATTTCTTAGAAAATAATTTGTTGTTCAAGTTTGAGGAAAATTGCTATAAAAGGTATATTTATGTAGCCATGGAATTAACTATAAAGACACTATAAAAAGTATATTAGAAAGAGCTGTTTCTTTGTAGCAAGCAGTTTTGTAACATTTTTTTCTCTTTTTTCTAGGTTTAACTATAGATCAACACATCATCTTGCGTCTCATGGGTTCTATGAATTTCTAAATTGGTTTGATGAAAGAGCATGGTATCCTCTAGGAAGAATAGTAGGTGGTACTGTAAGTATATTTGAGTTATTTTTGTTTATGTCATAAAATTTTATAGTTGAGTAAATTATAAGCTGCTAAGATGTTGAGGATTCTCAAAAGCTTTGTATAGTTAACTAATATAGTTTTACTAGAGACCTGGTGCATGAAATTTGTGCATTGGGTTGTCCCTCAACCAGGTCTGCACCCTCTAGAAATCCAGGACCCTGCAGATCATGCCTAAACCGGCAGTCGGACATCCCTCTAGCAATCCGGGACTGCTGGCACCTGAGTGATTGCCCCTATCCACTCACCTGCCTCCCTGATCGCCTCTGCCTACCTTCCTGAACTCCCCTAACCCCTCACCTGCTTGCCTGATCACTCCTAACCCCTTTGCCTGCCTGCCTGATTACTCCTAATCACCTCTGCCTGCCTCATCACCCCTAAGCACTCGCTAGGGGCGGCTAGCTGGGGTGAGGGGCCATGGTAGTTCTGGTCTCTGGTTGTTGTGGTCGTTCTGCCATTTTGGTCGCTGGGCTTTTATATAGGACTAGAGGCCTGGTGCACGAAATTCATGTATTGGGGGGTGGTCCTCAGCCTGGCCTACAGCTCTTCAATCTGGGATCCCTCTCACAACCCAGAACTACTGGCTTCTAGTGCTTACTTTCCTGATGTTCCTAACTGCTGTCCTGTCTGCCTGATGCCCCTAACTGCTCCCTTGCCGGCCTAATGGCCCTAACTAGTCTCGACCCCTCCTGACCTGATCCCTACCCCCCCACCCCCCCAACTGCCTAATTGCTGTGCCTTGTCAGCCTGATTCCCCTAACTGCTCTCCGCTCCTGGTCTGATACCCCTAACTGCCTATCTGCTCTCCCCTCCTGGCCTAAACACTTAATTGCTCATCTACTCTCCCTTCCTCTTTGCGCTTTCAGACCCTGGCACAGGAGTGCTGAGAGTTCTCCTCCAAGGCGCCGTCCTGTTCTGACATGGCCCTCTGGGCCAGGCAGTGCCAGGTGCCTGCATATATCTCCACTTGGAGGGGGGTTTGGATCACCCATGTCCTGATGCCCCCCTCTGGGCCTGGCAGTGCTGTGAGCTTGTGCGTGCCTCCTCTGGGATGGGGGGGGCTCACTAAAACCCGTCCTGACGACCCCCCTCCAGGCTGGGCAGCACGGCTGGCCTGCACATGTCTCCACAAGGGGCCTCTTCCTGGCAGTAACCTCATGTCCTGGTGGAATAAGTCCCCACCCCCATTCCCGCCCACTAGCTCCTGTGCAGGCACAGCCTGATGAAAGTTTGGATTGTGACTGGGTCACAGTTAGGACCAGTTAGCATATTCTCTCTTATATATATACAGATGTGGCTGATTGACCAATGTTAAATTTTTTTTTAAATCTCTTAATACTGTTTTCTCCTCCCCCCTCCCACGCACTCCCACACACACTGGTTTTGGGGTTATCTCACACTAACATTATCTCTGACAAATGGTGTAGGCTAGAGGGGGTATCCTTAGTCCAGGTTATTTGTGTGCTTTTGTTCATATCTGTCCTAAATTACTCTAGGTCAGTGGTCTGCAAACTCATTAGTCAACAGAGCCAAATATCAACAGTACAACGATTGACATTTCTTTTGAGAGCCAAATTTTTAAAACTTAAACTTCTAACACTACTTCTTCAAAATAGACTTGCCCAGGCCGTGGTATTTTGTGGAAGAGCCACACTCAAGAGGCCAAAGAGCCACATGTGGCTCACAAGTCACAGTTTGCCGACCACAGCTCTAGGTAATTGAGTGTTGATCATAGTTCATAGGGAATCAGTGTTTTAGCTACATTGAGTAAGTTTGCTTTTATAGTCTTTATAGTATTTTTCATTTTCATATATTCTACTTAATGAGTTATTTAGAATTGTATTTAACTTTTCAGTGTAACAGAATTTCCTGTTATTTTGTTTTTATTTATATTTCAAATATTTTTTATTGAGAGAAAAATCAAATATATTTCATTGAGGGAAAAATTCTGTATTTCCATTCCTGTGAAACTTATTGAGATTTGATTAGTGACCTAGGATTTGGCAAATTTTATAAAGGCTCCCTTTGTGTTTGGAAAGAATATGTTTTCTGTGATAGCAAGATGTTATATTCCAATTTGAGGCATCTTCTTATCTTGGTTGTAAATAGAGATAAAAGAATCACGGAGAGTAGTCATGATGGTTTCCAAGCAAATTAGAAATTTATTGAATGGTAAGAGAGATGGTAGATGGTTATTAGCTGCATTTCTTGTCACACACCTTATTGTATTAGTATTTGATGTCCCTCTTTTGTTTCCTGTCGTGTTTAACTTTATATCTTAAATTCATCCTCACTGGAGGCTTGTTTACTGATACTCTTGGTTGTTATACCTGAAGTTGTTAAAAATGTGGAACCCATATTCACATATGTGATGAATGAGTTTCTTATTTCTATTCAAGGCTTTGGATATACAGTAAGGCAAAACATTTCTTACTGCTTCCCTTAATGAATGAGAAGAATTTGTCTAGTTTCACAAATAGGCCTTGGCTTTGTTCTGGGAGTATGCTTTTTCTCTAATATCTGTATTGAGCGATAACCCCCCCAACTTCTAGTCTGTAAGTTATATCTTAGACCTGAAGTGTCTTTTCCCCCCTCTTCTTTTGGGCTCCCATGGCATTAGTATCATTTGAACCTTCTCTTTATTTTTTTTGCGTCTGGAGGGTTCCCTTTTTTAAAAGCTTAAATATGCCCGCTTTTTGTTGAGTTTTTTTTGTTTTTGGTTAGGGTTTTTTTGTTTTGTTTTTGTTTGTTTGTTTGTTTGTTTGTTTTACCAGTATTTCTACTGTATTTAGTGTGTCAACTCTGTCTTCCATATTATCATGAATATATTGACTCACCTTTAGAGGCATTTGCAAATTTATTTTTATGTTCATTGAATACAGCTGACAAAACCATACTCTGGAACCTGATATTATATGCAAAATAAAATAAAATTTTAATTTTTAAGATTGATGATGATTGCCACACGCACACACACACCCACCCCTCCTTTATTCCATACATTCAATAGGAATGGAGTATCCATTTTGTGTCGATCATTGTTTTGAGTACTGGGGGAAATATTCCTACAGCTTATATTTTTGTGAGGGCATTTTTAATTAATAGACAATATGTAAAATGAGTAAAATAAGTATGTGAAATATTGATAAGTAATGAAGAAAAAGCAAGGGAGTGGGTTAAAGACCTGGGGAATTTGCTATTTTAGCTAGGAAAGGAAATTCATGATGTTCTTCATAACATTTGTGATAAAGAACCTTTTAGGGTTTAGTGAAGGATGGAATTGTAGATACACATTTTAATCACTAATGAATAGCTAAAAAATGTCCTTTTTACTTTACTTTGAATCCTCTTGATGTTTTTTGTTCCTTGTTTAGAGTGAGGATGAAGAATTCAGCAGCTATTTTAAGTGGTAGAAAAATGCTCAATCTTCCAAATATAGTTTTTGAATTCACAAAGTGATTGATTAGTTCTTCATTTCATAGCTAGATTTGTATACTTTTCAAATCTTGTCTTTGAAAGGAAAGAATCCTGTACATAATTTTTTCTCCTTTTCTCATTCCTTTATACACACACAACTATGGGCAAAATTAGAACATGTTTAAAACCCTAAACCTAAGGGCAAATTAGACTAGGATTCTGTTTTATGATGAAAAAATAGTGGGATTAATTAGTACCCACAGTTTTCCATTGGAAAACATGTTTTAGTGTTAATAATTACTCTATATGATCCTTCTTTATTAATTTAAATATCTTTCTCTCCATATATGAGCTTTTTCTTTGTATTCAATACAAAAGTACATTTAATTTTGAAGTATGTGAGAAAGGAAAACTGTTTTTGAGATATTCTCAAACTTATTGTAAACAATATATAATAATAAAGGAAAGAACTTATGTTAGTGTTTTCAGCTACCTCGTTTTATATGTAATTAAATTTCTTATTTTTTTCTTCCTAGGTTTACCCAGGGTTGATGATAACAGCTGGCCTTATCCACTGGATTTTAAATACATTGAACATAACAGTTCACATAAGAGATGTATGTGTATTCCTTGCACCAACTTTTAGCGGCCTTACCTCTATATCTACTTTCCTGCTCACCAGAGAACTTTGGAATCAAGGAGCAGGACTTTTAGCTGCTTGTTTTATTGCTATTGTACCAGGTTACATTTCTCGGTCAGTAGCTGGATCCTTTGATAACGAAGGCATTGCTATTTTTGCACTTCAGTTCACATATTACTTATGGGTAAGTAACATGTAATTTATTATTACCATTAATACTTATGAACTTTCTGCTGAAATGCTGTAGGTTGTACACATTTGCCTTGTATAGAGACCTGTTGCATGAAATTTGTTCACTTAGGAGAGTGGGAGGGGGTAGTCCCTCAGCCCAGACTGCACCGTCTCACAGTCTGGGAGCCCTCCAGGGATGTCCAAATGGATGTTATTTTGTCAAATGCTTTTTTTGTACCTAATGATATAGATACATGATCTTTTTCCTTTGACCTTTTGATATCATGGATTTCATTAATTACGTTCAAATGTTTAACCAGATTTTTATACTGGGGTAAATCTAACTTGATCATGGTATATAACAAGTATATACTAGAGGCCTGGTGCATGAATTTGTGCATGGGTGGGTTCCCCAAGGGGTTGGGGGGTGGGGAGTCTGGGACACAATTAACCCTCCGGCAGGTGGGACACCCTTGCCAGCCTGGGATCTGGATCCTTCCTGCTGAAGTACTTGCCAGTTGTCAGGAGCCACTTGGTGGCCGCTTTTATATTGTTTCTTCCTTGTGGAATATCTAAGGAGGGGAAGTGGCCGAGGTGCCTGAGGCCTTCTTCCAGGAAACTGGTAGCACTGGTCCATTGGTGCCTGACTTCTCTAGAGATTGGACCTGCAGGACTAATGAGAGAGTGAGTGGCTGATGCCCAGCTGGTGGGCCACTGGGATGGGTTGGTCAACTGAGCAGCACTTCACTGTGGGAGCACACTGACCACTAGGGAGCAGCTCCAGTGTTGAGCGTCTGCCTTCTGGTGGTCAGTGTGCGTCGTAGCAACTGGTCAGCTGATCATTCAGTTGTATCAGTCACTTAGGTGCGCATGAATAAGATAGGTTGTTGGATTTGATTTGCTAATATTTTGTTGAAGATTTTTTTTTATTATTTTATTAACCCTTTCAAAGAACCAGCTGAGTTTCATTGATCTTTTCTAATGTGCTTTTAAATTTCTATTTCACTTATTTTGGCTCTGATGTTAATTATTTACTTCTGTTTACTTTGGGTTTTGTTAGTTGTTTTTCTAGTTTCTGTAGATGTAAAGTTAGATTGCTTATTTTGGATTTTTCTTATTTCTTGTGGTAGACCTGTGAAACTAAGATCTTCCATTTTAGAACATGCTTTTGCTGCATCACACAATTTTGAAATGATGTGTTTTCATTTTCATTTGTCTCAAGGTAGTTTTTTATTTACTCTTTAATTTCTTTAATCCATTGGTGGTTTTTGTAGCATATTATTTATTCTCCATGAATTTGTGTTGTTTTTTTTTTCCTTTTTTTTTTCCCCCCCTGAAGTTCATTTCTGGTTTCATGCCAATGTGGTTGGAAAAGATAATTGATATGATTTCTATCTTCTTGAATTTATTGAGAATTGTTTTGTGACTGATTTTATCTATCCTGGAAAATGTACTGTGTGCACTTAAAAAAATAAAGTGCATTCTGCTGTTTTGGGATGGGATGTTTTATAAATGTTAAGTGCATCTGGTCCAATGTTACATTTAAGGTCATTATTTTCTTAATACTTTTCTATGTCTATGGTGTGTTTTTAAACCACTGCTTAAACTCTTTTACAAGGTATATGTTTTTAAAAGATGCAATTTTTGTCATCACATTATTTTCAAAGTACTGTCGATGGACATTTTTTGGTAAGCTTTTTGTTATGTGTTCTTCAGAGATTTTTTTCCATAAGGTTTAAGAGAACAATCTTTGTAGCCAATCTGCCATGGTTTGGTTTCTTTTTGTTTAAATGCTACCCACTAAGGGTGCTTACCCTAATGTGTATTTTATCTGCTATAAAATGGAATATTAGTACCTATCTGATATGATTTAATTAAGTTAATGCTTGTAAAGGTATAGAATATTGTGGGAACACGGAAATTGATGAGCACATGTTTGTTCTATTGTTACTATTCACCAAAAACAGAACTAATAAAGATAAAATAGTACTTGGAGCAGTGCATATCATCTTGCCTCATATAGTTTTTGTTGTTGGTGGTGGTTTTTTAAAATGTTTTGTTCTGTGCCTTTATAGTCAGTACTTTCCTTCACTCATATTCCTCACAACCAGAGATTTGATTTCTGTCTATATATACTGTATTTGGGAGTTTCTTTTTCAGAATGCCCCATAATCAAACAGTAAGGGTTAACCCTTTGTGTCTAGCCTACTTTAGTTAGCATGATAAGTTGAGAGTCATCCTTGTTATTGCATATTTTAGTAATCTGTTACTTTTTATTGCTGAGTAGTATTCTGTTGGATGGATGTACTATATAGAGTTATTTTGTTTTCTAGCTTTTGACAGTTGTGAGTAAAGCAGCTTTAATTATTTGCATGCTATTCTTTATATTGACATATATTAGTATTACTCTTAGATAAATGCCTAGGTGTGGGATTGTCAGTTTACATAAGCACATCTTTAATTTTACAAAAAGCTGCCAGTTTTCCAAAGTGGCTATGTCATTTGGCATCCTCTCTATCAGAGTATGTGGAGTTATATTTACTTGCTTCACCAATGAATGGGATGTTAAAATTTATTAATTTTTAGCCATTCTAGTAAGTATGTAACAATATCTCATGGTTATAATGTGCTTTTCCCCATTGACTGATATTGAGCATAGTTTCATGTGCGTGTTTCACATCTGTTCAACCCTTTGGCTATGTCTCAGTGGGTTATTTGTTTTCTTGTTATTGAGTTGTAAAACTTTGTATATTTTAGAAATAAGTCTTTTATCATATGTGTGTTGTGCAAACATTTTCTCCTAGTCTGTGGCTTGTCTTTTTATTTTTTTAATGGTATCTTTCTAAGAGCTGAAATGTTTAATTTTGATGGAGATCAATTCATATATATTTTTTTAATGGATTTTGCTTTTTTATATTGTCAGAAGTATAACCCAAGATCACAAACACTTTCTCTAGAAATTGAGTAGTTTTAGGTTTTACATTAAGATAAGTGATCCATTTTGAGTTGATTATGGCCTGTGGTGCAATAAGAGGATTAAGGTTCTCTGTTTTTGCATATCCTGTTGATCCAACACCCATTGTTGAAAAGACAGTTCTTTCTCCACTGAGTTAATTACTTTGGTAGCCTTGTTAAGATCAGTTGCCACTATACATTGGACCTGTTTGGAAATTCTTCCCTACTGTTTTTGACCAGTTAAGTATCTATCCTATGACAATACACCAGGTTGTGTTTATTAGTTTATAAAAACACTTGAAATCTGATAGCATGAGTAATTCAGTTTTGTTCCTCATTTCCAAACATTTTTTTTTCTCTTCATAGTCTTTTGCTTTATATAAATTTTTGAATTGGTTTATCAACATCTACACAAAAAACCAATTGGAATTTTTATTGGAAGTACATTATCTATAGATGAGTTTGGGGAGACTTGTCATCTTAATATGACAACCTGATGGAGGCCCATGGAAAAGAGTTTGAGTGTTCTGGCTTTCCTTTTGTCTAGATCCTTATTCTTTTTATTTATTTATTTTTTTAAATATATTTTATTGATTTTTTTTTTTTTTTTTTACAGAGAGGAAGAGAGGGGGATAGAGAGCTAGAAACGTCAGTGAGAGAGAAACATCGACCAGCTGCCTCTTGCACACCCCCTACCGGGGATGTGCCCGCAACCAAGGTACATGCCCTTGACCAGAATCGAACCCGGGACCTTTCAGTCCGCAGACCGACGCTCTACCACTGAGCCAAACCGGTTTCGGCTGGATCCTTATTCTTGCACTTGCATAATTATTTGCCTTGTAACTAACTTTATGATAAGCTTAAGAAAACATATTGTTTAGATTTTTTTTCTCATTATGGTGAAAATGACCTTTTTAGCTTTCCACAGTCAAAGCACAAACAGAATTTAAGTCTTTGAATACTCCAAACCTGAACACATCATGTTGTAGATCTAGAGGAATGTTTTCCAATAGAAGTTTCCTTGACAATGGAAATATTCTCTATCTACTCTGTTTAATAGGTCCCAGTTATCAACTAACTTTTCATGGATCATACATTTGGTCTTGTATCATAAAAAATAAACCATCATCAGACCAAGGATACTCAGATTTTTTCCTTTGTTGTTTTATAAAAGTTTTATGGTTTTAGGTCTGTGATCCATTTTGCTTTAATTTTTGTGGAGTATAGTGAGGTCTGTGTTCAGATTCACTTCTTTGCATGTACATGCCTAGTTGTTCTAGCACCATTTTGTTGAAAAGACTATCCTTTATTGAATTACCTTTGCACCTTTGTCAAAGGTCAATTGACTGTGTGGGTCTTCTTTTGGCTTCTCTGTTCTGTTTCATTGATCTTCCGTTCTTTCACCAATACCATACCGGGTTGATGACAGTAGTCGCCCCCCCTATACCCACAGGGGACATATATTAAGACCCCCAGTGGATGCTTGAAATGGTGGGTGGTAGCAAACCCTGTATTTGCTGTTTTTTATTATACATACATATCTATAATAAAGTTTGGTTCATAAATTAGGCATAGTAAGAGATTAACAACAGCAATGATAAAATAGAACAATTATAACAATATATTGTAATAAAAGATATGTGAATGTGGTCTCCCAAAGATTTAATTTTTGAAAAGTTTCCAGAAATTTTCCACATATAAATTTATAGCCTTTACTCTCTTAACTGAGCACTTACGCACTATGGCTGTGAATTTTGTAGTTTGAGGTCCAAGAGCAATACAAGAATGAATTTCCTTTTCCTTTACAATTTCATGATAGAATATTTGTTCTTACTGTAAATTTTAGCAGCCTCAGCTTATGTCCCCCCCCCCCCCCCCCCTTTATTAAATCAAGGACCTCTACCTTTTCCCTTAAAGAAAGTATTCCACAGTTTTTCTTTGGCATATAACAATTGCCAACATCACTACACTTGTGCTTTGAGATCATTTTTAAGTAAAATAAAGGTTACATGAACGTAAGCACTGCAATACAGAGACAGTTGATCTGATAACTAAGATGGCTTTAAGTGACTAATGAGCACATGGCATACAGTTGTGGAGACACTGGACAAAAGGGATGATTCATATCTAGGTAGGATAAGGGGGGACAGCATAAGCATAAGATTTCATCACAATTCTGAATGACACTAAATTTAAAACTTATGAATTGTTTATTTCTGGAATTTCCCATTTAATATTATCATACTGTGGTTGACTTCAGGTAATTGAAACCTTAGAAAGTAAAACCGTGGGTGGAAGGCTCTGCCTGTTCGTTGCTTTAATGTAGTAGCATAGTAGAGGCCCATTTTAAAAGAAAAGAATTCCTTTAAATGAGCTCTATAGAATAATGTTAAAATTGAATTTCTTATCAGGCATGGCAATGAATCTTTTAATACATAATTGCTTGTAATGGGATTTAATTTCTTTAAAACATTCACATGATTTGTCTAAAAAAAAAATGACCCTTTGCTCTTAGTATGAGTATTTAGAGCCTTGTGTTTCTGAAATTTAAAATTTAGTTTTCTGCTTACAAAACAGATTCAGAGACATAAAAACGGGATAGACTATGGAATCTCAGAGGGAAGGTGGGGGAGGATGGATGGGATCAACCGAAGAACTTGTATGCATATATGCATAACTCAGGGACACAGACAGTAGGGTGATGAAGGCCTGGGGTGGGGAGTGGTTGCTAGAAGAGATGGATGGTGGAAAAAAGGGGACATATGTAATACTTTCAACAATAAAGATTTTAAAAAGCAAAGAAAAGTGAGGGCATGGCAAAAATAAAATTGCTTTTTTGAAGTTGCTAATTAATATATTTTGCTTTTTCAGATGAATATATAAACTCTTACCTGGGAATTATTTCTTTAATTCTTAAGTCACTGGGTAGAAATTGGTCAACATTTTGAGCCTTTGTTAACTGCAAGTTGTCTTCCCAGTTAAGAGTAATTGAGAATTTTACTGTTATATTATTATTAGGCTGTTTAGGAACTATTTTAGGAATATAATAGTTTCTTGAAGATATTGATTGTAGTATTTGAAAATTTCTAGATAATGAAAAGTTTTTCAAATTGGTTGCTCATAATTAGAATTATACTTTTGAGATGATCACATTCAAATGTGGGGTTACATACTGAGGTTAAGCAAATCAACAATATGGAAATGAAGATTTACTGAATAATTTTATTCTTTAGTTAAAATCTCAATTTGATATTAATAATTTAATATAAAAGTGTAACAAATGGAAATATATAATTTGTTCCTTTGAGATTTTTTTTTTTTTTTACTGAATACTAAATAGCTAGAAATCAAAGCTATTTTTAAAATATCTGACTGCTGCCAAATATTATAAATGCATATATTAAGTGGATCTGAATAACCTTAGTACATTTTAAAAATAACTTTGGCTTTTTGTAATACATGTTTACTAAACATTTTTTTTATTCAGCAGGAACATTTGTTAACATTTATTACATCAGTTTTTTTGTTTTTAGGTAAAATCTGTAAAAACTGGTTCTGTTTTTTGGACAGTGTGCTGCTGCTTATCGTATTTCTATATGGTAAGATATTATATTTGAAACTACGTGAGTTTTAACAAATCTTTTTAGACGTTAGACCAGTTCCTCCTCTTCATTTTTGTTTCATCAAGGGCTAGTTCTCCATTTTGTTTCTCCTGAAATCTTTAGGATCTTAATTTTGTTTAATGTATACTCTTTCATTACTCCCATTCTCTTGCTTTTCCCCTCTCCCCAGGGCCCATATGGACTTTTGTGTTAGTGGGGAGGGCTAATATTCAACCTCTCAATACAATATGTGCAGCGAATGAAACAAAAATCTTTCTTTTTAAATATACAACTCAACCTAAATAGTGGTAACATCCTCTGTAGTTCTCAACCTTTCTAATGCCGAGACCTTTTGCATAGACTTTTTGAATATTAGATAAACTTTCTTAAGATTGTAAGCCATTGCTATACATGGTTTTTTCAAACTTTTAATTACTACTCTTAGAGCATATCCAAAAATTTTTATCTTGATAAGACCCTATTTCCTATTATTGAATTAACTTAAAAAGTTAATTCTGTTGGTTGAGAATAAACATTATCTTTAGGATCTTTATAATTTACACTAAAACATACTCAGTTATTCTGATTAAATAGAATTATTCTAATTTTGTGATGCCAGCCAGACATTAAAATGGTATCTTGATTGTTAGGAAATAATTTATACCCTAGGCAACACCTTTATTTTGAGGATTACAAGTATATCCAGATCATTTGAGTACTCCCTTTAGTTGACTTATTGACTGCTGCTAATAGTCTTGTTTATATTCTCAGTAAAGTTTCTTGAATATATTTATCATGCAAAAATGGGGGAAGTAAATAGGCTTTTTTCTTTTAAATGTTAAGATCTATATCCTGAAAGCCCTTGTTTCCTGACAGTCCTTTTACTTTCGATTCACAAGTTATAATGTTCTCAACATTCTCATTAAATTTAATTTAATTTGACCATTTCTCAAGTGAATGTAGGAAAGCATTTTGGATTTATAGTATTGTGTTATTTAATTATCAATAAAAGTAAGGAAAAATAAATTATTTGTGGTTATATAAATCAATTTTTAAGCCTCTCTGAAAATTGTTAAATATATTTGTTTACTGTATGTGTTATCATGACAAAACTTACCTATTTAAAAAAAGCAAACAAATTATTTAACTTATTTACCCATAGGTCTCTGCTTGGGGTGGTTATGTGTTTATTATCAACCTTATTCCACTGCATGTATTTGTGTTATTACTGATGCAGAGATACAGCAAAAGAGTCTACATAGGTAAGTGATTTGACTTTTGAAATCTTTCCGCTTTTAAGAGGTGTTTCATATACATTATTTTCATTGCACAGACTTTTTCTTAGGCCAGTATTAGCAATGAGAAGGTAAAAATAATTTTATATTCATTTCACTTTTTGTACTTACAATGGTTAGGCATTTTACTTAAGTGTGTTGTTACCAACTTTTTTGATGAGTTTTTATAGAAATTAGTCTAGATTAATATTTGTCATTAATTTTTTTTAAATTGGTGGAATGAGCATTTCTGTCATGAAAATCATCCACATATTATTCAAATCCAGCTTATTAGAAAAGATGGAGCATCCTCTAAGTAAACAGTTTAAACTTTTAAAAGCCCTTTCTATATAATATTCAACAGACTTAGTTCATTTGAGCTGCCATAAAAAATACAAAAGACTAGGTAGCTTGTAAACAAGAATTTACTTTTCACAATCTGGCTGGAGGGTCCAAGATTGAGGCACCAGAATGCTCATGTGCTTTGCTGTCACACGGTGAAAGGGATGTGCTAACTCTCTTGGGGCCTCAGTCAAAAGGGCACTAATCTCTGGAGCCTTCCTGCCATAATCATCTCCCACCTTCTAATGCTTTCATATATTGAAAACCTTGGGCATTAGGTTTTCAATATATGAATCCAGGGTGGGACACAAACATTCAGACCATAGCTATCTTCATTTAGCCTACAGTTTTTAAAACATTCTTGAATTAGATGCTTAGTGTTCAAAGGTGTCTCAAGTTTTAGAGTTCATTTTCTGAAATAGAGACAGAAAATTCTTATGGGTTGAATTAACCAGAGAGAAGTGATCAAAAACCAATATTTCAGTAAAATAATACAATTTCATTATAATAATACTAGAGGCCCAGTGCACAAAATTAGTGCTGGGGGCGGGGGGTTCTTCAGCCTGGGCTTGGCCTGCAAAGATGCCAGCATCCCTCACCTGGCCTCTAGGCAGAGGTTCCTCCCCTCCTTCCACACAGCCTCTGGGAAGATGCTTGTCCTGGGGCCTCCTCAGGGCCCTGGCCCATGATGCCCTGCAGCTCGAGTACTTGGGTGCTTGGGCTTTCAGGCTTCCTTGCTGTGCATCAGCTGCCGTGGGAGCCTTGCCTCAGGAGTCGCCCTCTTGGACCATACTACTTGTGAGTGTGGGTTGGGGGCAGTCTCGGCAGCAGTGTTTGATGTCTGTAGCATACCTGCCAGACCCCTTCCACCCCCTGCTGCGGTGCCACGCTGGTCCCCTCTGGACTGCTGGCAGGGGGCTTCCAGTCTGTGACTAGGGCTGCTGGGCTGCGACTGGGGCTGCAGGTGGAAGACCCTGGCACCCATAGGGCTCTGTCATTATCGAGACCACCACAGGCTCCTTCCCTCCTGCCTCACTGCCGGCTGAGGCATGGACCCTGGGCTCAAGGCCCCACAAGCCTCTTCCTTCACGCAGCATGGCAGGCCGGAGTGCAGACTCTGGGCGCACGGACTCTGGGCTCTGACACCACAGACCTCTTCCTTCCATGTCCTTCTCCCAGTCCTCTGGCCAGAGACCCCTCCCCTCCTTCCACAGCCAAGGAGTAGATACTGGGCTCCCGTTGCCTGGGTGATGGCTACAGCGTCTGCTATGGGTGCTGCCATTTTGTTGTGGAGTGATGGCTAATTTACATATTACTCTTATTATATAGGATTTTTTGGAAAACAGCAAAGATATAAAAGCTCATTAGCATGATTAAAAGCCATAGTAGTTTGGCAGTTCCTCAAAAACTTAATCACAGAGTTATCATTTGATCCAGTGATTCCACTACTAGGTCCAGAATAGACAAATCCAGAGAGAGAAAGTAGATTTAGTGCTTGCCAGGGCCTTAGAGAGTGGAGGAATGACTGAATGGGTATGGTATTTGTTCTGGATATAGGTATTGATGATAGTATACAACTTTATGAATATGGTAAAACCGATGGTATATTTTAAAAGGGTGAAATTTACTGAACATTATATCAATTATAAAAAATTTTAGTATATTTATAGTCATTTCAGTGTACCTAATAACAATCACAGCTGGCATAATTAATAAATGTTTAGTTCTTGTTCATCACAACTGTCTTAAGTTCTTTACATGAATTTAACTCCTTAATCTTCATAAACACTGTGTGGGTAGGCATGTTACTATCTTCATTTTACAGATGAGGAAACAAGATGCCATAATTTCCTGAAGATGTTGTAGCTAGTAATGGAACTTAGATTTTTGTCTCCACAGCCCATAATGCTAAAAATCACTATAACTATGTCCCTAGTATATAAATACCTTACAGTTGAAATACATCAACCTAATATGTCTCTTTACCCTGAAAACATCATAACTTGTTATTGGTATCTAAAAAGGAGAATTATAGATTAAACTGTACTTTTCAGCTTTTTTTTAGAATTACAGAAGGAGAATTATAGATTAAATTGTACTTTTCAGATTTTTTTTTAGAATTAGGTTAAATGGTTGGTTATAGGGAGGGTTAAGGTTAGGGTAGGCTTAATTAAGAAATTTTGGGGTCCTGAAAATTATAGGGGGAATACAGTGGAGAGAAGATTACACTTTTGTGAAATGCACTTAATTAGGAAGAAGAAGAGCCAAAGGGAAAGTCAAAGGCAACCAAATAAGGAACGCTGTTGAAGAGGTCAAATGGAGGGTCTACATAAGGTTTGAAACATGAGCAGTGTTCAGCTCCCCTGGAATGTTAGCACTAAGATGTAGTAGCATGAGAATTGAGACGAAACCTTTATTTGATGGGTTAGAAAAGCATGGTGTTAATACTGGCTCTTGAGTGTTTTTTTTTTTCTTTTCAGAGGTAAGAGAAAATGGTTTAGGGATGTTAGATATGTATATAAAATTAGATTAGTAAATGTCTCAGATAATTTTATAGTGTTCAAATTCTCTACCCCAACCTCCTCTTTTCTTCTCTCTTATTCCACGAATGTAAATAAGAGTATTTTATGTTGTTTTTATGCTCTTTCATAGAGTTTACTTTTAAATGGGTAAAAAGTGATGGCACAGAATAAATGTTTCTCTTCTTTCATCCTGAATATATCAGGATTTAAGTTAAATTTAACATAACTTAATGGTTCTGAAAAATATGTAAGCATTACCAAGTGTTTGTATATAGTTTGTTCTCTGATTTATAAAAATATTTTTTACTGATTTTTTACAGAGCAGAAGGGATAGAGTTAGAAACATCAATGAGAGAGAGAAATATTGATCAGCTGCCTCCTGCATCCCCCTCACCCTCAACACCTGCCACTGGGGATGTGCCTGCAACCAAGGTACATGCCCTTGACCAGAATCGAAATCTTGGACCCTTCAGTCCACAGGTTGATGCTCTATCCACCGAGCCAAATCGGCTAGGGCTATGCTCTTGATTTTAACACACAACATCCTTGGTCTGTAGTTATTCCTCCTCATGAGCAAAAATATTTAGGTAAAAAGGGATTGCTAGATGGAAAACTCATAATCATATTAATCAAAAGTTTGGGTTCTAAGAATCAAATTAAGTGAAGTAAAAATGAATTATTTGAAATAATTACAGAAAAAATATAGTTTTCCTTTGAGTAAATTTTTTTGCACGTGTCTTTAGACTCAGTTATTAAGCCTAGGAAAACTGTTAATTTGTTCATGTGGAAAGAGGAGGAGCATGGGTGGTAATGTGGATGTGTAGGAGTGGGAAGCCAAGGTGTAAAGAAAGTTGAGATATAAGGCGGTAAGAAGCTATCTACTTGATGAAATTGGGGTGTGATTATAAAGTTAAATTATTTTGTGAAGATATAGTTTGGACTTGTTGAATTGGGAAATAAATTTTACAAAATTATTTTACAAACAGGATTCTGATGTTTTCACAAAGGAAAACTACCCAGGCCTTATTTTGCATTTATAGAAAGACTGGTTTTACAGATATCACATAACACTGATGGAATGTAAAATGATTTTAACCTTTCTAATTTGATAAAGGTTTATCATACTTTATGTCATAACAATGTATTATTAAACATATGAAATCATTTAGGATGTTCACTGTGATGTTATGTATAATTGTGAAAATAGCTTAAATGTCCAATAGGAAAATTATAATTTATAAATTACACTTAAAATGTAGTGTTGTCATATCATAAAGTATTATGGTGCTATTAAATACAATCTGTTTTGGTATATAATGATATAGAAAAATGTTAACAAAAAACATAGCAAGGATTACTAGTGATTTTCCTCATATTTTTCTCTACTTCCTAAATTTTCTACAATAAGCATGTCTTAAATTCAGAATGAGTTTATGTGTCTCATTAACTAAATTAGAATGATAATTTAAGAAGGAAGAAATTGGTTTCTTGTATTGATAAGTGTTTTTTAAATGTTACTGAAGCAGTTTGTTATTGTCCATGTTTTCTCTGTGAGTTAATTTGAGTAAGGAGAGTAAAAAAAATCACTTTTTAGCCCAGCGGTAGTAGCTCAGTGGTTGAGAGTCTACCTATGACCCAGGAGGTAACGGTTCGATTCCCAGTCAGGGTGCATGCCTGGGTTGTGGGATTGATCCCTAGTGGGGGTTGTGCAGGAGGCAGGCAATCAGATACTCTCGCTTATCATTGATGTTTCTCTCCCTCTCTTCCCTTCTGAAATAAAATAAAATACATTTTTTTAAAATCACTTTTCATATTCTACCTAAAAGATATTTTTATGGTAACATTTGCTAGGAATTATCATTGAAAGAGTAAAGTGTTAATTTTGCACAACTTATTCTAAGATTATATAGCTTGTGAACAAAGAAAATCCTAGTATTGAGTGAATTGAAAGTAAAGCCATAAACTTTAGGAGTCATATATACACTTGGCAGCTATAAGCAAAACATTTAATGCCAGATTAACTTACACAACAATAAATTTTAAAAATTGCTTGTAAAAATTCTAGGATATAAAAGTGGGAAGTGCTAGAATTTAGTGTGTCTAATTCTACGAGATTATTTTTGAGGAAATTCAAGCAAATTGATTCACTAAAGATTTTATTCCCCCCAATCTTTACCTCTTTCAGCCTCTGGAACTCTTTTTGTCTTGTCTAGCTATCCCTTCATAACTTTATCATCAACAGAGGCAAACACTTAAATAGTGTTTTGTGTTATTCTCTGACACTAGCTGAGTGTCGTACCATTCAGCTCAATTTTGACATCATCCACCCATAGATATCATATGATGCTACAGTTTAAGAGCTCAGCCCCATAGAACTGCCTCACCTTCTGAAGCCAATCTCAAGTTCAGGTTACCACCTGAACTTCTGACAAAACGGATGTAAACTAAAGGTTCTCAGAGCCCTCTCCTTGGTTTCAACTAATTGTTAGAGTGACTCAATACTTATTAGATTACTGATTTATTGGAAAAGGTTGTAATTCAGGAATAGCCAGAAGGAAGAGCTATATTAGCCATCACAAGCTGTAATGCTTTGTCACAGAGAAGATACATGTTAGTTTGGGGAACATCAGGAGCTTCTTAAAAACTTAAAATTTCAATGGAACTTGAATTAAGCCTTTCAGTGCCTTTTATCTTGTGTCAGTCAAGGGCAATGGTTTATTTTGTTCTGTATCAATCTGGTCCAACCCTACCCTTTAAAAGCAAAAGATATTTTGGTTCTATTTAGAAGTTTATTGTTCCAAATCAAAGAGGGGTTTTTGAGTTGTTTGTTTTGTTGTTGTTAAAAAATGATAGACTTCGTATATAACTTTTTAATGGTAATTTTTTCTGAAATTCCTCTAACACATTAGAAGTATGATCTTCAGTCGTGAATGCAAGTGCTTCCACAGGATGGCAGTGTGGTAACATTTTCATGATGTAATAAGTGATTTACAACATTACTGGTGTTGTACATTTCCATAGAACTCTTTGATGAAAAACTTTATCCTCTGGTTAAAAGGGTAAGAGAAATTGGTTAACATGGGTAGATAGAAAGTTATATGTGGACAGTAACTTGGTTAAGTTTCCTATAGAATTTGTAGGACAGATTGGGTGGGGAGTGATTGCTATTGCTATGGGTTGTGTTGTTGAGGTCTTCTGAAACAGTGGTAGAATGGTATTGGTGTTGCCTTCAAACAGTGGCAGAAATGGTATTGGTGTCGCTTTCATTCAAGTTTTTACAGGGCCAGGTTTTTTTCACCAATCTCACATGTACTTCTTTCACTATATGTGGTTATTTGTGTACATCTGATTTTCTCAATTAAATATCTCTTAGAGGATGGGATTGCTCTTAAAAGGATTTTGTCACTTTAGTCAGTCTAGACCATAATAGACGAAAGGTTAATATTTGAATAAATTATAGAGGTAATTTTTAAACCCACTGTTAAATGCTATTGTATAAAGCCTAAGTAAAAAACAAGTTTTTGTTTGCAGACATTGAACTATTTTTCTTGAACTCATCTCCATCACTCTTAGAATTAACTTGAACCCTAGTTCATCTGCTGTGCATGAAGTGTTTTCTTCCTTAGTAATAACAATAAATGTCTGCAGTGTTGCATAAAACCACTAATTGAGAATGTTACCAGGCTTATTCTTTTCTTTTTGAATATGTCTGGAAATAAACTTGAGCAAATCCTTGAGGAAACTTCATTGGTAGTTTCTAAGCAAGTGATTGCTGAAATTTTTACACTGCCGAGCACAGTATACTTCCATTTGAAGAGAGATAATATGAACATGTTTGTGTGCCCACCATACCTTTTAGTGATTATTTCTAGAAAATGTGACTTAGATGAGATAAATGGACTAGAGACTTTCACATTTTAAACAACAATAACAAAAAACATGACCTTTGCAATTAAGAACAAGTCTTGGGCTGGCCCAGGCTGGGGAGAATGAGCAACTGCCTAATGAGTATGAAGGTTTCTTTTTGGGTGATGAAATGTTTTGGAGCTACAGAGAGGTGGTAGTTGCACAACATTGAGGGTGTATTAAATGCACTTGAATTGATCACTTTAAAATGATTATATATGTATTTCACCTCAACTTTTTTTAAAAAAATTCTTTTTTATTCAACATGTGCCATTTATTATGTTTAATCCAAATTTTATGACAGTTATAATATTTAGTGCTCATTTATGTTTATAGAAAGAGAAATAAAGCCTCAGAGGTGATTGTGGTGTTCGGATGTAAGTTGGCTTACGTATAGTTAAAACACATAAATGACATAAGGTTTTTCAAGCCCTGCTTTTCTAGTTGTGATTTTGTGGGTTCATTATTTGTCTAGGGTTTGATTTCCCAGATCTAGGTGTTTAAAAGGCTTGTTGATCATGAAATCGTATGTTATTGTTAGGGGGGGACCAACAGATTTTCTTGTTCAAATCCCTCATTCTGTAGTGAGGAAATTGAAACTTTTGTTGTTAAGTAAAGGCCATTACTAAAGGCCATTAGCGCAAGGCCATTATTTGATTGTTCAAAATCAAATAATGGCCTTGCGCTAATTTTTTTCTTTTCTTCCTGATTCTGCCTCTGACTCTCTATAAAAGACTAATTTGTAAATAAAACATTGATATTAGAAAACTCATCAACCAAATAGGATGAGAGTTCAAATCTTATGACATAGAAATTTTTAGTTACTTCACTTTTATTTCATTTGTGTTCAAGTACTTCATTGAGGATAATTCCATTTCAACATGAATATATCTAAAAAGTATATTATTGGATGGATTACTTCTACAATCTTCTAGACAACCAGTTCCCATTAGCTTGAGATCATCAGAAACTTTATTCATATATATTGGTCCTTTCTATTAATTTACTTGAACTTTTTTTTTTTTTTTTACCAGATTTTATTGATTTTTTAGAGAGAGGGATAGAGAGTTAGAAACATCGATGAGAGAGAATCATAGATCAGCTGCCTCTTGCACACCCACCACTGGGGATGTGCCCACAACCAAGGTACATGGTCCCTGACCAGAATCAAACGTGGGACCTTTCAGTCCGTAGGCCGACACTGAGCCAAACCGGTTTTGGCAATTTACTTGAACTTTTTATCCTTTTCCTAACACTACAGTTATCTCTTAACAGACAGCTTGGGAGGCAACTTGACATTTGAATCATGAGCCCATAATTTACTCTCTATAGATAGGGTTGTTTTTTAAAGAAGATAAATTTTCTTAAGTTGGGCAAAGGGAAGTATTTGCTATATGTTGTGCTATACATGTGTAGCATACTAGTATGTATGCTGTAACAGTTCTCTTCCTAAATATACCCCCAGGTGTTTTTTCCTAATAGAGTACTGTATTTGCCAACAATTAAATATTGACTGTACTCCACAAAATGACAACTAATACATCTCTTTCACATCCATATTTCTCTCTCTAAAAATTAATAAAAACATATCTTTGGGTGAGGAATTTTTTTCCAAGTTGTGAAATACTTGAGCTTTTGAGATAATGGCAACTACTTATATATACGTTGATGAAAAGTATTCACTAGGTCATGCATACTTTGGATTAATGGCAATAGGAATGTTTTATAACGTAGCTTCTTGGGTTGTGTCAATGATTATTAATGATAGGTTGATAAAAGTTTGATTCCATTTGGGGGAGAAGAAAGCAGCACCAGTTATCTCCTAATCTGTTCTAAATTATAGTTTGCAGAAATACAGTGCATAAAACAATAATTTTTTAAATGGCAGAAAGAATTTTCATGATTTATAATGTATGATTAATCATCAGAAGTCACTTCAAGATTCTGTTCTTAAAATAAGTTCAGTTAAAACTTTGCTAAAAAGGAAATAAGTTATTCATTTATGTCTGAAGTACTTATGGTAGTGGTAAATTATCTTGTTTCCTATTTTGTCTTTTTAGCATATAGCACTTTCTACATTGTGGGTTTAATATTATCCATGCAGATACCCTTTGTGGGATTCCAGCCAATCAGAACAAGTGAACACATGGCAGCTGCAGGTATGAGAAAATACTTAATTTTCCTTCTTCTAAAGAATGTATGAATGTGTGGCTAGCCAACCTTTAAGAGAATAAAGTTGTTTTTCTTTTTTGTTTTTAATTTTCATCATATTGCTTCTAAAATATCACTGTAAAATGAAAATATAGTTTTATTGAAATATTCTGCTTTTGTGTTCCCAAAAGTATCTATCTTCCCTCATTGCTGTTTTGAAAAGGCAAAACATCTTTTTTTACACAATTGATGCTATTTGCAAGCACTAAATATTTGCTTTATATAAACTAATATTAAGCAGTATTTGTCTGCTGAATTAATTATACCAGAGTTTCCATTTCAGGAAATTTAGGTGGAACTTTTCATTTTTATGTTCATTACCTCTTACTAAAGTATTTCATCTGTATTTACTAACTGGAATTAATGGCTTTTATATTGATTAAAAAGTTATATAATTCTCCTCCACATAAGCAGAGTTCTTCGCCATTATTAACCTGGGTCACAATTAACAAAAATGGAGGATCTGTGAATAAATAGAGCTTCTCAACTAGAGGTCCATGGTCAAAAGCCCATATGAAGGCTGTGGGTATTTATTTTACTTGTAATGTTTTATAAATTCAGTATATTTAACTTTCTGAGGTGATGTTCTATAATTTTTAACATCACATGCTTCATGAGACACACAAACCCAAAAGGTTAATAACCCACAACTTACTATAATATTATATAGCACTTACAAATCTGTGAAATGATTTTACTTACATTCATAATGTGGTGTTATAAAATTACCAATTAGTAATTTGAAAAAAATAATCCATATTGCATACAATCATATATAGCAATGTCTGTGTAGATACACAATCAATTGACTCTATGCATATGCATTATTATATTTCTTAAAATCTAAATCATTAATAGTACACATTTAATCATTCTAAAATGAACTTTAAAAAATAGCCCCTATGGCTAGGACCGGTTTGGCTCAATGGATAGAGCGTTGGCTTGGGGATTGAAGGGTCCTGGGTTCAATTCCGGTCATGTACCTTGGTTGCGGGCATATCCCCAGTAAGGGGTATGCAAGAGGCAGCTGATCGATGACTCTCTCTCATCGATGTTTCTGGCTCTCTATCTCTCTCCCTTCCTCTCTGTACAAAATCAATAAAATATATTTTTTTAAAAATAGCCCCTATGAATAATTTTTTAAAAGAAAAATAATGTCCCAGAAGGGTTAGGGGTCTCATGTTTTTGTTTTGTTTTATACCTTGTGATTTGTATTGTGCTTTGCACATAAATACTTTTCATTGTTACTGCTTTAATTTTATCTTAGTACTCACTTTAATATATATTAATTTAGAATCTTATAGAAGTGTGTAATTAAGGTCACATACAGCCACTCAGCTATAAATGATAACTATATATCATATCAGGATTTACCTGATCCAAGTAATTTCTTCCTTCAGTAAATCTTAGGATTTTTTTTTTAAATGACATTTCTACTTTCCCCTCTAGAAAACATGTCACTAAAATATGAGACAAAAGGAGGAAATTTAATGTGCTAAAATAGGCTCTAGTTGTTGAAATGGGATTTTTCTTTCTTGGTTCATGTATGGGGAGTCTGATCTTTTTTTTTTTTTTTTTTTTTTTAATGTGTAGCAGAATTTTGGGAGTGTATTGTTTGGTTGTCATTTGACAAAATGTTGATTAGATGAAATGGCTAGTCTTTGTTATGAATGGTACCGGGTGTTCTAAGAATCTCTTATATGACCTTTTTCTTTAGGTGTATTTGCACTGTTGCAAGCTTATGCTTTCTTGCAGTATCTGAGAGATCGGTTAACAAAACAAGAGTTCCAGACCCTTTTCTTTTTGGGTGTATCAGTAGCTGCAGGCGCTGTGTTCCTTAGTGTCATCTATTTGACTTATACAGGTAAGTGTCATCATCTGTAGGATGTGAATCTTGTCTCTAATTTATTGTAAAAAGTAATTACTTACAAATTTTGTATATATTCCATTTATTCTAGAGGATCAAATATTATGGTTGCATTCTGAATAAACAATATAAAAATAATAGTCAAAGTTTCTAAGATCTACATAGCAGTACAAATTGTGGTTGTTTTAACAGTATCTTAGTTTTGCTGCTTCAAGATCTGATGAGTTTACTTTCAAGCATCATCTTGATATATGAATAGGCCCAAATTGTATAAAATTCAAAGCTTCCAATGTTAACCTACTGCATGCTTGTCCTCTTGTGTGCATATGTTCTCTGTCCTACTTTTAAACAGTCTGCTTCTGGATTCTAAGTTACTTTGTGAACCTAACTTCACTAGTTCCTAGAACAAGTCAAATTCTTTCTAAAGGTATTCTATCTGTTACATTAATGTATCAGCTTAACTCAAAATCATGATTAATTGACCAGAGAAAAAGGCATGAATGATTAAAATCATTTTTATAATTCATCTAAATTGGGCATATTATATTAGATAATTTAGACACCACCACCCATCCCCTTTTTTAAATATTATCCAGTGCTTTCTTACTATTTTATCTTTGTTTTACTATTCAACTTGAAGTGTATGGGAGAATTGGAAAACTTCCTACAATTTTATCTATCCACTTGTGTTTCTTTGGAAAAGTAATCTCCACAGATTATTTGTTTTTCTTTGATCACATTAACATTTTATCTGATTGCCAGCCCTGTGAAATATGTTGTCACCTATAAATTAAAACTGAAAAATTTAAGTACTGGGTTAAATTAAGCCATAATAATCAGTAAATGTAAAACAAAAACAATTTTAAAAGGCAGATTAATTGCCTCTATATTTTTCCTTTTAAGGTTACATTGCACCATGGAGTGGCAGGTTTTATTCCTTGTGGGACACTGGGTAAGTGTATATAAGTTATTTGCCCTCATTAAAATACCATTCTACACACACACACACACACACACACACACACACACACACACACTCCGTTCTTACGTTGTCAGCATTACCATTGGTCTTGGGTAACATTTTAAAAGTATCTAACATATACTAGTTTAGTAACTGTTTATTTGAATCCCTTGTATTTTTTCTTTGTTACAATACCTGTTTGTAATGCATCTTTAGTATGCTACGCATTACATATATTTCAATTCTGCATGAACAACTTCTTATTTTAGTTTTGTCAAAACATTTCAGTTAACATTTGTGCAATTTTAATTATTGATTTTTATTTTTACCAATGTATTCAAAGTTTCCAACTATTAGTATTTACTTTTTAATCATTAAGGCTCATATACTGTAGATGGGAAGAAAAGATTTTAATGTTTTTTAATGTCACACTTAAGTTTCTTGATATTTTATTACATATACTACAAAATATTTGTGTGCTTTTACAAGTGCTATTAGAAAAGTGAAATCGTTTAAAAATTAATTTTAAATTAGATAACTGATTCAATAAGATATTTTGTTTTCCTAAGGATGAGAAAATACCTTTTGATTATAATTTATCTGTCTTCTCTGTTCCCACTGTTCTCTCTTCTTTGTTACTCCCTAAATGGCCCAATAAAAAACCTACCACATTTTATTGAATGGGCCTTCCTATTGCTGTGATACCAGAAGGTCTAATTAAAGGGCATGAGCAAATATACAGTATACTAATGACTGAAACTAACATTTGGACACATAATTGAAGAGATCAACCAATGGACACCAAAAAGGTTGAGGAAAATCTCTAGTAATTAGATGAATTTTTGTCAGTAATATTTATTCTTACTTCCTATATTTTAATGGACTACTTGGGAATGTCAGGGCATTTCAGGAATAATTTGTCCTGTCCTTTCTATTTCTCTCATTGCCTTGCTAAGAAAAGTATTGTGGCAGTATCATGTCTTATTTCTGCTAGTAATAGTAAGTCTAAAATGTAGTGAGATGTAGGAGGTGCTAATTTAAAATGCAGAACAAATTCCTGTTTTAGCAAAATTTTTTGTATTAAAAGTCAGAGCCAACACTTTCATAATATAACTAGCCTTAGATAATTCTTCTAATTTTAGGGATGACATATTAGTTTGTTTTATCAATGTGGACCAAATTTATATCAAATTCAACAGGTTATGTTGGACTATACTTATGAGTGAGAAGAGATAGAAGATAGAAATCATATCTACAGTCAAAGAAAATTTTTCCATCCAAAAAGATTTATTTTAATATTAAGTATTAACTTTTTTAAATACCAGGTATGCAAAAATACATATTCCAATTATTGCATCAGTGTCTGAGCATCAACCTACGACTTGGGTGTCTTTCTTCTTTGATCTACATATTCTTGTGTGTACCTTCCCAGCAGGCCTATGGTTCTGCATTAAAAATATCAACGATGAAAGAGTGTTTGGTAAGAGATTTTTAATAAATACTTAGCTTTAGAACAATTATTTTCATTACTGATATCACTTTAAAGTTTTATTCTTTGTATGACTGCATAGTCAAGGTAAATTTCTTGCGTAAATCTTAAGCAAGAAAAACCTGGTGAATTTATATTGTATGTATTTTATTAACTTTTAATTTAGGGCTCATATGTAACATTTTTATTCCATTTACTATATTTTCTGAGAGTTATAGTCTGTGGCTAAGCATTGGGAACTTTGCTTACAGTATAGTCTTGATTTTATTTACTCTAAGTTAGATCTGATTAAGTAAAAAGAAGTTTGCATGGGTGACCATCATCCAAATTTCAGTGCAAGGTACATTTTGTAATGGAGTAAGAGTCACCTTTAAGTAAACACTCTTTTCACTGATAATTTGTGTAAATTTTCAACTAATAAACTGAAAAAAGGCAACATACACAAAAATAATTTGTAGTACCAGGACTTGAATTTATACAAGAAATGCGGCTTGGACCGTGAATGACACTCATGGTACTATTCCAGAATGAAGTTAGGAGGAAAATACAACGCTCGCATGAGTTCTAACCAAAGGAATAACACTCATTCTTCTTGTTTATGTAGACCACTCCCTCTGGAAAAGGCCATGTTAATATTGCATTATTCAAAAAGATTTAGCTTAAACATATTGCCCACCTCATGACTCAGCAATCCTAATCCCAAGAGAAGTGAGTGCATATGTCCAACAAAGGACATGTCTAATAATGCAACTTAATTCATAATAGCTCCTAATTAGAAACATTCCAAAGGTTGTTAGCGGTAGAATAGAAAAAGAAATTCCCATGTTTTCCTACAAGGGAATGCAACATAGCTATTAATAAAAGAATGGTTGAACCTAAAAAGCCAATACAAAAAAGAACATTTTTATATAATTTAAAAAGTAAAGTTCAAGAATAAGAATATTAATGCTTTAAAAATCCAAATAGTGTTTACTTTTTTTTTTTTTTTAATAGGCAGGGAGTGGGGGAGAGCAGTTATTATGATAACTGGGAAGAGGTATGAGGATCCTTCTGAGGAGGCTCTATATTTTGATTTGGTTGATAATGACATAGGTGTGCACATTTGTAAAATTTATTGAGCTATAGTTATGAACATGGTATATAATTTTTTAGTGAGGAAATGAAATTTTAATTAACCTTACTTGAGAATAGAAGTTCAAATGACTCATTGACTTTATGAATTCATATAGCCTTCAGCCTGAAATGGTAGAGCCTTCCTAGTGGTTAGCATATTATGTGGAAGGCTTTGGCTTTTGGAAAATACTTTAGAATTTTTTAAAAAGTCTCTTAGTAGTAACAAGTTCCTCCTTGGGCTAATAAATTATATTCTCCTCATCCTATTTTTTTACTTTAGACAAGCTTTATGCCAGATATTGGTACTAGCTTTTCAAAGACTTTATTTGATTCTGTAAACTTACTCTGCCTGATAATTTAATTCCTCAAATGTGTTTTCACCCATCAATTGTAGATTTTCTAACATGTGATATTGACAATGAATTTGTCTCAGTTCCCATAACTATAATTACTATAATTTGATACATTTCTCTAAATTGTTGATATATAGAGTCTAGTTAGCATTAGCTATAATTTCTAAATATGACTATTAAATCATTTGGTTGATATATCAATTTAAAAACAATTAGCTCTTTTATGAGATGTTTGTTTTTAGATTTGGTTTATAATGTGATATTAAATACTTAGTTCAGTCTCCTGCGAACATTTTCTTTTCTGAAGTGTTACAAGAGAGCTTGTCTTTCCAGTTGCTCTGTATGCCATCAGCGCTGTCTACTTTGCTGGAGTGATGGTGCGGCTGATGTTGACTTTGACTCCTGTCGTCTGTATGCTGTCTGCAATTGCCTTCTCTAATGTTTTTGAGCACTATTTGGGGGATGACATGAAAAGGGAAAACCCACCTGTGGAGGACAGCAGTGATGAGGATGACAAAAGAAACCCAGGAAATTTGTATGATAAGGTGGGGAATCTAAAGTAAGACCTTTAAAAATTTTATGTGCTTTATTTTTCTACCACAGTAAGAACTATTAATATTAAAAAACGTGATTAAATAGGATTTAGACAAACTGACATTTTCAGTTGGTCTCTACTGTTTGCCTAAAACTTTGAATCCTGCTTGGTCTTTTAGGTAAGAATAAGAAAATAAAATGTAACCAGAGTAGGAATTCTCATTTCATTTTGGTCTGGTTTTATCCAAAATCCCTCTATTTTTTTAAAGCAAAAAACTAGTGCTCTACTAAATTACATAACATTGAGCATTATTAAACCCCATTGAAACCATGTGCACAAACACTTATCTTTGAGGTCTGTGTTCAGTGTAAACTTAAAATTTATTTCTTTATTATTTATTTATTTGTTTGTTTGTTTATTTATTTATTTTTGGTATACTAGATGAGGCTCCAACGAACCTAGCCACCTAGCTCGGGGCATGTAATTTACTTTTACTTTTGACCTGTCAGGTTAAGTAAAGAGCAAGGTCATATTTGGTGCAAATGTGGAAAAGACTCGTAAGAATTAGAGCACTAATACTTACCTGGCAGGGGAGGTACCATGATCAGGAAGCTGGTTTTCCCAGGGCAAGGCCTATCCACTGTGCTCTGGATGTGCTAATCCCTGCAATTCTCCCAAATGTGGGAAACTTGACTGCATAATTTGTGGTAATGGGGGACTGTGCTCCTGTACTTCCCTGAAGGAAAAAAAGAACTCGCTTGTCTTGGATTACATACTAAAATTCATTTGAATATTAACTAGGTTTTAAATTCCAATAAGCAATGAAACTTTCCAAAATAAGTATTAACTTTGAAAACCTTGCCTTACTACAATATAATTAATACAGATTTGTTTTAATACAGCACATACCTACTTTTGTGTTTGCAGTTATATTTTATTTTGTGGATTCTTAACTAGCCTAGCAGTTTAGAAAATATTACTCTGTTCAGTTTTCTGTTCTGGTTTTTTGGTGGTGGTTTGTTGTTGTAGTTTTTAAAAATATTTTAATTTTAATATGTCTGTTTTGGGATTTGGAAATTGGAAGATTGATTCTGATGATGCATTTTTTTGTCCTATACTAAAGTTCTACATGATCCAGATTAAAGCTGGACAGTTGTTTTTAGGATGAGGAATTTGGGTTTTATAAGAACTTGCCAGAATGAGGCCATTTGGTTATCTCTTTTGTACATACATAAAACAAGGTTTGAAAGCAGCTTCCTACTGGAGATATTTTGGTCTGTGACCAGCTCCTGTGTTGGGTATAGTTTTAGGAAACCACCTCGATCACATTTAATTTGAGAATCAACTGCTGATTTTTAGAAAACTTTATCACTCACACAAGAAACCTGATGGTTATACATTTTTTTCCCCTCAAAGGATTAAATTGACAGGTTAACATTCTCCTAACTTTTCTTGAATGTCTCAATGAAACCAGTTAAATGATTAACTTGTCTAACCAGTTTTTTGTATCTTCAGGCAGGTAAAGTGAGGAAACATGTAACTGAGCAGGAAAAAACTGAAGAGGGACTAGGTCCTAATATAAAAAGCATTGTCACCATGTTGATGCTGATGCTATTGATGATGTTTGCAGTTCACTGTACCTGGGTCACAAGCAATGCCTATTCTAGTCCAAGTGTGGTCCTGGCCTCTTACAATCATGATGGGTAAGAAAATAGCTTCAAAGGGATTTTATACCTATCCCTTTTTTTTTTGAATCAGTGGTTAAGAATTTAAAAAATATAATGTTTGTGAGGCTCTGTATTTGAATCTACCATGTTTTTCTTACAGCCTTTCTCTCCCACCCCATATGGGTGGTAATCATTGTATTTCATGCTCTTGTTCAGAATGTCTTTGCATTCACGACATATATATTAGTTTTTCTCAAAATGTGGTCCTTAAGACATACAATGAGTTCTCACTTATCATAGATAAGCTCTGTGACAAGACAAAGCAAGATATAATGAAACCAACTTTACCATAGGCTAAGTGAAAAAGAGTTCAATTCCTATAATGTTGATGAGACACGATAACATAAGGATTGTTATTCAAGGACTTGCTATACAGCAACATCTTTACCAGGAAGCCTGTTAGAAATGCAAATTCTTGACCCCGTGTAAAACCTATTGAATTAGAAACCTAGAGGTGGAGCTCAGCAATCTCTGATTTAATAAGCCCTCTAGGTGATGATGATAATGCAGCTGAAATTCAAGAAATCATTTATATATTGCCACCCCAGCTTCTGCTTCATTTGGGTGCTTGTTAGGCTTGCAAAATATCAGGCCCCACCCCAGAACCACTAATTCAGAATCTGTTCTTTTTACAAGATACCCAGGAGATGTGCATGCATATTAAAGTTTAAAAAGCATTAGCTCTTCATTGATATCCTCCCCAACCTCCATTTTTTTAGGCTTTTAAAAGCCGCACTTAAAATGTGAGATTAATTCAATGGTTGAACACCTCAAGATTTTAAGTTACTCTCTTCACATTTATAACATCTCATTTAAAAGAATATTGTGATTTTTTTTTTTCCCCCCCCCCAGCACCAGGAATATCTTAGATGATTTTAGAGAAGCTTACTTTTGGCTAAGGCAAAATACAGATGAACATGCCCGAGTGATGTCTTGGTGGGATTATGGCTACCAGATAGCTGGAATGGCTAATAGAACTACTTTGGTGGATAATAATACCTGGAATAACAGCCACATAGCACTGGTAAGAATTCAATAAACAGATAAAAGTTATAAATTTTTATTACTTAGCAATCAGGCATCATTTGTAATTAAGAAGGATAAATGTAGATGAATGTTCTCTTTGCATGCAGAATTTTCAAAATTTCTTTTTATACAATTCATTCCATAAACTGAGTTCAGGTTATGCATATTTACTTATTTAAGTATCATTCAGAATTGTAAACTGATTTCTGGTAGATCTCATGATATCTCATGATGAGAATTAGGCAAAATCTGAAACTTTTTTTATTTTTTCCAACACCAAAAATCTGAAACTTTTAAAACACTAAATTTGACTTGTATTTTTCATTTTATAAATTAAGATAATTATTTGCAAATAAAACAAATGCACTGTATTCAGGGACTGTTTACTGTTAACTAATTTGCATAAATTCAGGTAATCACATCTCTGTTTTTAAAAGATTTTAAATCATGAGTGGATAGTAACCAAAACAGTTTTACTTGTACTAATGTTGTAGCTAATTATCAGATGTCTGGTAGACTGAGAAGAATATATTTGTGCTGGCTAGATTGCTAGTCATACCTGGCTTTGAGGTAATGAGAAGTCCTATTTCTTTTAAGCTTGCCTGCTTTTATACTAAAATGTTAATTTCATGAAATAATTAACAAAATACTTAAACATTATTCTGATTTTGACATTTCTGCTATATCTGCTTATAGTGTGTGAGGTGCTTCTAAATCTCAGTAAATTTGTTGAATTCATAGCAAATCATTACTATAAAAAGAATTCCATGTAAATCAGATTCCTGAGGTACATTCCTTCATAAGGTAAAAATGTACATTTATTTCTTTTTTAGCATATTATGGGGATAAGAGTACACATTCTCATATTTTTCTGTAGGTGGGAAAAGCTATGTCTTCAAATGAAACAGCAGCCTATAAAATCATGAGGAGTCTGGATGTAGATTATGTTTTGGTAATTTTTGGAGGGGTTATTGGCTATTCTGGTGATGACATCAACAAGTTCCTGTGGATGGTTAGGATAGCTGAAGGAGAACATCCAAAGGACATTCGGGTAAGAAACGTTAGTTCAGGTATTTTAAAACAGCTCACGGGTCCAAGTAATTCTTTTATCTTGCTAATTGCATCGTATTTGTTTTCATTATTTTATTCCCCACATTAGACTCTTCACTCTGTATTTACTATTAAGATATAATACTTTAAGCATTTTCCCAATTTTAAATCTTTTGAAATTTGTACTTGATATTTCTGTTCTCCAAAGCTATCTTTTGTCAAGACTTTTGCTTTGACTCCTTCACAGCCTTTGCAATTCTGCCCTTTCTTTCCGTTTCCATTGTTTCCACTCTGTTACTGATCCTTATAATCATAAACCTGAAATAGACAGTGACCTTAAAATTGCTCTCCACTGCTTGTGTCTTTAGACGCTTAAACAAATGGTTAAATGATGAAGGCCCCTTAAATTCCCTCCCCCGGTCTTATTTAACATTGATCATGTCACTTTACAATTTAACAGCCTTCAATTGATTAAGGAAAAGGGCCTTAAAACCATAGACAGACATCAGTTAGAACTAAAACCCTGCCACTGTCAGTTTGGTGCTATGAGCAAGTTATTTTTCGCCGATCAGTATTATATGCTTTGAGCATTGGGTCTTGTTCTAGGTTCTGGTGTATAATGGAGATTAAGGCAGTCTCAGATATCACTAATGGGAATGCCAGGAATAATTCATTTGTAGTGCTGTTTTGAGACTTTGTAGTAATGTATTATAGGTGATGCCTGTAATAATCTCTGCAATTAAGTAATGTTTGCATCTTGTCCCTCTATCATCTTCTCTCCCCCCTCCCACCCCCACCCCGTCTGTCTACTTTACTATCAATCTTTTCACGTTGCTTTGAAACTTGCCCTGTGGTATCTTTCCTTGACTCATCTAACACGTGGTGTTTATACTCTTCTCTTTTCCTGGGATAGTTTCCCTACCACAGACTTGTCCCCTCTCTAGAAGCTCTTCTCTGGTATATCTATGTGTACTCATCATCAGAATCACACACAGCCTGTTTTGTAGGCAGATTCTATTATATCTCTCCCACTCAGTTATGAACTCTTAGAGGATGGGCACCCAGCAAGTGGTTTAACCAGTTAACTGTCATAATATTTTGAATTTAATTTAAAAAGCTCTGCTGCTTGCGTCTATAGACACTTATGGCGTACAAATGGTTAAATGATGAAGGCCCAAAACATGTGAGATTCACCACTGATCCAGAATAAAAGAACCTTTTGGGAGAATTTATGCATGTGTGTCATGTAAAGCCTCACATTTCCTATTCAAATGTAAATGCTGTGACATTTCCCCTAAACTGTGATTAATAAATAATTCCTTGTAGTACACTAATTTTGATTTAATTTTTCAGTATGTAATATTCATTTGTATTTCCTTTAGCAGTGTTAAAATTATGACATGTGATGGATCCAGATATATGCTTTGAACATTTATATAGAAATTCTAAATTTCTGTGCTTTTTATATGCAGTATTTTTAAAGTTTGAGTAGGTAATCCAGTCACATGATTCAAAAGAAAATGTTAAGTGCAATACAGTATAACTTTACCAACCTCCACAGCTCCCCCTGAAAAGAAAAAAAAGCCCATGCCAATCACTATTTTCTTATGCTTCTTATTCAAGCAAATATAGTAGCAAAATATACACCCTGTTCTTGCTTTTTATAAAAAATATACCTTAGCAATTTTTCTATATTAGAATATGGAGAGTTGTTTGTTTTCACTTTGACACAGTGTATTCCATTGTGTATATGCATTCATGATTTATTTAACCTGTCCCTATTGATGGACATTTAGGTTGTTTCCAGTTTTTAGTCTCATAAACAGTGGTACAGTAAGTAACTTTTATACTCATTACTTTGCCCATGTACAAGTGTTTTGTTGGGTAAATTTCTAGACTAGGAATTTCTATTTATAGTGCCAAATTGGCCTTTGTAGAGGCTATGCTATAAATTTTATGAGATCCCAATAAAATTACTATAGGAGTTTTCTAAACACTTTCCCCAACCCCCAGGTAAAGAACTGACTTTAGAGTTCATAATAGGAAAATAAAGACCAATTAAAATAAACTGAAAATGAGTAATGGGGGTGAGGATGGGGCATTTGGAGAGAGTGAATTTACCTGGTATTAAAACCATGGTGTTGGTACCATTCTTTTGAATTATTGAGGTTTTTATATCATGGTTATAATCTGGTAGGATTAATTGCTTTTCCTTACTCCAACAAATAGTATTGTTCTTATTCTGTGTTTTCTTAGATAATCTTGTTTATTTTTTATAAATGATTTCTAGACTCAGCTTTTAAAAACACTCATAATAATTTTGGAGTTTTTTTTAGCGGTCACGTTAAATTTATAAATTAATCCTCTGATAGAATATTTTTTTGATGTGTAACTATGGCTTTCTGAATATACCCTAAAAGCTGGTTTATGGGGAAATAGAGGGACTTGTAAATTTAACTGACATAAACTTCTGTTTTGTTTTGTAGGAAAGTGACTATTTCACCCCACAAGGAGAATTCCGTGTAGACAAAGCAGGATCCCCCACTTTATTGAATTGCCTTATGTATAAAATGTCATATTACCGATTTGGGGAAATGCAGGTTAGTTTTATTAATTTTACTATAATCTTTTTTGAAGGGAATATTTTAAAAGTAGTCTTGTTTGCTCTAAAAACAGGATAATGATATTTGGTTATGCTATAAAGAAAGAAGTGCTTATCTAAAACTCCCAAACACATTCCCACCTACCACTCCCTGCCCATTAAATTTAGATTTCTGAAACTTAAAAGTGAAAAATTTAGATAAAAAATTTCCTTCCAAAATATTAATTAACACTAGGCTTAAATCCAGTCTTTGCTTGCCTTTGGCCTCATACTTTTTGAAGGCATTTTTCTTCCATCTTGGGAAACTCTGTTGTTTTTTGTTTTATCCTCACCTAAGGATATTTTTTCCATTGATATTTAGAGAGAGTGGAAGGGAAGGAGAGTGAAAGAGAATACACACACACACACACACACACACACGAGTATATCATTCAGTTGCCTCCCACACATGCCCTGGGATCAAACCTGCAACCGAGGTACGTGCCCTTGCTGGGAATCAAGCCCAGGACCCTTCGATCCAAGGACCAGCACTCTTACCCATTGAGCAACACTGGTCAGGGCAAAACTGTATGATCTGAAGTAGATTACTTTGGTGTTTGGTGGGGGAAAACCTGAAATTAAAGAGTTGAATTATGTGGACATTTCAGGTATTCATTCTATCCCTGTTCTTTTTTTACCACAGATAGCTAAGACTGTCCAGGTTAGAGTTTTCTTGAAAATTAGAATGAAGTGGTACAAAAACTTAAGCATCCAAAAAAATGAATGAATGTGCAGAGATACTGTGGCAAAAAGAACAGACAGTGGACTTACTGTCACAATACTTAAGGTTCAGATCTGGTTCTGTCAAATCATGTAATCCTTGGACAAGTCACATCCTTCCTGGCCTTTTTTCTTGGCTGTATATAATGGAGGTTGTACTGATGACTTGATTTGTAAGGCTCTTTATGGCTCTTAGAGCACATGACTATAATACAAAATTAAAGCCTTCACACCAAGATTTCAGTGAAAACTGCCTTATTCCATATTGCATTCTTATTAATCTGATACTAGGAGGCAGAGGAAAAATTGCTTGTTTAATTTTATACAAACACTAACGATCAAGATAATGTTCATCACTATCAATTTGGAATTACTCTACAGGTAGCTTTTAATAAATAGATAATAATTTTTCTACTAGGCTTAGGTTTTTGTGTTTTGATTTCTGAAGGCCGCTGTTTCTAAACTCATATTAAGGAAGAAACATTTAAGCCATAAAAATTAGCTACTTTAGAAATGATTCAAATGTTTGTTTTTTCAATAATGATGGTAGCAAAGAAGTTTTCTTGCTCTCATTTAAGTTTATCAACAGACCCTGCCTGGTCAGTGTTGCTAAGTGGTTAGAGCTTCATCCTACCCACTGAAGGATTACAGGTTCAATTACTGATTAAGGGCATATACCTGGTTTGCAGGTCCAATGCCCAGTCTGAGGTATGCAGAAGACCAATCGATGTGTCCCTCTTAACATTGATATATCTCTTTCCCCTTCTCCCTCTTCCCCTCCCCCTTTCTTCTTCTCCCCACTCCTCTCCCATTATCTCTAAAAATCAATGGAAAAAATATCCACGGTGAGGATTAATAACAGCAAAAGTTTACCAGCTGTTGTAAGCCATGCTTCCAGCATGTCTTCATCTTTATGCCTTCGCTACTCAAGAATAATATATGTTTAAGACATGAAGTATAACTTTTCTATTATATAGATATACTTGAATAAGTAATTCCCACATTAGAATAGATTTAGTTTTTGCTTTAAAGTGGAATTCACTTATACTCTGTCAACATAAATGTAGCCTGAGAATTTAAAATCTCTCTTCCTCCCAGTTTTTCCTTTCTTAATTTCTCATAAATCCTCCCTTGGTTTGCCCTTTTAAACTTTATTTATAGTTCCCACTTTCAGGATGTAATATACTTGTGCATTTATTTGACAAAAGCCACATTGAATAAGATAAGGTCATCATGCAGTTTGTATCCTGGTGGAGGACACAGGTAATTTTTAAAATAAAGGCAAATTTACTGAAGGTAAAAGATAAGAAAAACAGTTTCAAGAAAATATTTGGGGATTTTGTAAGTCAATACTAATCCTATATAATAAAATGACTGAACAGTGAAATGACCAGTAAGTGGGGGGAGAGGGGGCCTGCGTGCAGAGCTGGCAAGTGGGCAGTGCCAGGCCAGCCTAGGCGGGTGCCAGAATGGAGAGGGGGTAGCCGCTTGCCAGCCAACGCCAATTGGCCTGCCAGTTGCCTCCCACAGAGGCAGACATGTCATCAGTCAGACATCCCTAGAGGGCTCCTGGACTACAAGAGGGCACAGACCGGGCTGAGGGGACACCCCCCTGAATGCACAAATTTTTGTGTACTGGGCCTCTAGTTGGTAATATAAAGTAAATGGTTTTTTTGTTGTTTTTTTAAATAAGCTTATACTTTAATGACCTAAATTTATGTCAAAGTATATAAAAAAGAAAATTCTTTTTTGAAGAGATGTGTTTGGGCTAAGACCAAAGAATAGAAAGGAACTAGACATGCAAAATAGCTAAATGAAGAACTTTCTGCCTGAGAGAATAGATAGTGTAAGACCCTGAAGCAGAAAAGAAGTCCCTTCTGTGTGTTCTCTCTAGCCTATATAATAAAAGCTTACGTGGTGTCGCAGGATGCATTCGTGCGATGATGTCACAAGATGGCCAGTAGAGGAAGTCAGTTGTGGGTGACCAGGCCTGCAGGGCAGGGCATTTGGGTGCGACCAGGCCAGCAGGGGAGGGCAGTTGGGGGCAACCAGGCCGGCAGGGGAGCAGTTGGGTGATCAGGCTGGCAGGCAGAAGCGGTTAGGGGCAATCTGGCAGCAGGCAGGTGAGTAGTTAGGAGCCAGCAGTCCTGGATTGTGAGAGGGATGTCCCAACTGCCGGTTTAGGACATCCCCCAAGGGGCCCCAGATTGGAGAGAGTGCAGGCTGGCCTGAGGGACACCCCTCTACTCCCATGCATGAATATCATGCACCAGGCCTCTAGTATACTTATAAAAGGGGCTTTGATGGATTTCATTGTGACCATTACTTTGTGAAAGAGTGCCAGATACTCAAGTAATACAGTTATGATCTGTTCTTCATCTTTTGGTCAAAGCAAACTTGTATTGCATTTTCATGTTTTGGTCAAAGCAAACTTGTTCTGTTTTACTTTTTTTTTTTTTTTTTAATGCCTGCAAGGTTCTTATCCACTCTAAGGATTCAGTGAAATTCTAATTCTGATGTATTTAGTTTCTCTCTTCCTGATTTTTTCCAACAGTACATGAGAACTGTTGCAATATATTACTCTGATTATGTTTTCCTAGTTTATAGGGAGTTAGTTTTGCTCTGATGATAAAATTTGCTACCTTCTATTCGAATACTGAATGTTTTCTAATATGGTTAACATCCAATATGGTCACTTTTGCAGCTGGATTTTCGTACACCCCCAGGTTTTGATCGAACACGTAATGCTGAGATTGGAAACAAGGACATTAAATTCAAACATTTGGAGGAGGCCTTTACATCAGAACACTGGCTTGTAAGGATATATAAAGTGAAAGCGCCTGATAACAGGGAAACACTGGACCACAAACCTCGAGTCACCAACATTTTCCCAAAACAGAAGTATTTGTCAAAGAAGGTAGGTGTCAAATGAAGTCATGGTTGTCTGAAAAATTGCTAATAAATTTCCATTTACCAAGTTTATAAAGACTATCACTTAAATACTTTGTGAGGGCATTCCTTTCCAACTGAGTACTTCAGATATCCCAGCCAGCAGCTTTTACTGGATAGCATAATGGTTAACAGTGAACCAAACAATTTTCCAGAGGCATTCTGGCTTTAGTTTACTAATGCCCATTAATAAGAATTAATTTGTAAAGTAAGTTGTGTTTGTGACCATTACTTTCTGAAACTTTGTGAAAGAGTGCCAAATACTTAAGTATAATACAATTATGATCTATTCCTCATTTTTTTATCACAGCAAACTTGTATTGCATTTTCATGTTCTTTTTTTAGTATAATATGACTTTACTAATTATTGAATAAAGAATAAGCTTAAGTTGGTTGAATCCAAAATAAAAAAATTATTTATCTCAAGATGAGAATTATTAAATGTAATTGTCATTCTTGTCAGGAATTGCGATGATGAAACTATTACAGTTCTTTTGTATTTTAATAAGATACAAAGTATATTATTGGAGATCATTATTGCTCACTTAAGTGAAAGAGATCTTTGCTACAAAAGTCTACTTAAAATGAGTTTATGTAGGTTGCCTTCTGTGAGAAATGGAAAATAATGAGCAGTCATGAAATATGAAGTTAAGCTACTACCCTTGTAATGCTAATTATTAATAGACCATTTTCAGCCTTAAGTCTTGAAAGCTGCTTGGGTTTACATCGCTCACAACAGTGAGCCATACCAAAAATCTTTATTTACTTAATTTTATTTATTATTTTTTATTGATTTCAGAGAGAGATAGAAACATCAATGATGAGAGAGGATCATTGATCAGCTGCCTCCTGCACATCCCACACGGGATCAAGCGTACAACCCACTCATGTGCTTTTGACAGGAATCAAAACTAGGACCCTTCAGTTCACTGGCCAATACTCTATCTAGTGTGCCAAACCAGCAAGGGCCATTATAAAAATCTTTAATGTAGTGCTGGTATTACCCTTACTCTTGGGGGATACCTTCCAAGATCCCCCAGTGGATGCCTGAAACTGCTTATACAAACCCTGTATAAACTATGTGGGATGTTTTGTTTGTTTTTTTTTCTTTTCTTAGACTAGAGGCTTGGTGCATGAAATTCATGCACTCTGGCAGGGGTCCCTCAGGCTGGCCTGCGCCCTCTCACAGTTCAGGAGCCCTCAGGAGATGTCCGACTGCTGCAGAGGTGGAAGAGGCTCCTGCCAATGCAGCTGCACTCACCAGCCAAGCCTGGCGTCTGGCTGAGCAGCTCTCCCCCCTGTAGGAGAGCACTGACTACCAGGGGCAGCTCCAGCATTGAGTGTTTGCCCTCTGGTGATCAGTGTGCATCATAGTGACCCATCATTCTGCCGTTTGGTCAGTTTTGCATATTAGCCTTATATAGGATACCTCTTCATTTAAGGAAGTGCTTTTCAAGGTGTCTCTTTGGCACATCCAAATTATCAGCATCACTACTTTTGTGCTTCAGGACTATTATTAAGTCAAATGAGGGTTATTTGAATGCAATCATTGTGATACTGTGACAGTTGATCTGTTATCTGGGGTGGCTATTAAGTGACTAAAAAGTGAGGAATGTATATAGCATTGAGTTACTGGACAAAGGGATGACTCATGTACCAGGTGGAACCAAGTGGATAACATTAAATTTCATTACATTGCTCAGAATGACATAAAATTTGGAATTTTCCATTGAATATTTTCAGATCAAGGATAATTGAAACCATGGATGAGGGAGGAGTGATCTGTATTTTAAGTCATTGGAGCAATTGTTCTTTATGTTTATTTAAAATATACTTCAAATATATTTAGAATGCAGATTGTTTTAATTTGTACTATAAAAGTGTAATCTGTAAATAAAAACTTGTATTAGCTGTATGATATGTTAAACAGCTGACACTCTGTTAGTCATATCAAATTTACTTACTAGTAGTCTTTATATCAAATGATAAATGATCTGGTTTCCCACAGGCATGTGGTAACAGAAACTGGTGAGTCACCTCAGGACAGAAGTAAATGCTATTAGTCTTAAGGCAGTTTACTCTTATCCATCGAAGTCCAGTTAAAGCTTACTTTTTCTGAAAAACAATATCATTGAACTTGTCTGATGATCATTCCCCCCAAATAAAGAAGTGAATAGATAAATCACATTTATCTCTTTTTATAGTCTATCTTGTATGCCCAAAATATATATTCTACTAGCCAACAACATGGTCTTTGAATTTCTAGTTTCCATGGCTTTCTGTTATCTTTTTTGTACTAGCACTAGAAGAATGCCGGTTGGTTGGTTGGTTGGTTGGTTGGTTGGTTGGCTGGTGATGGTTCTTCTCTCCACCCTGGTTATTACTCTAAGGGTTGGGGGCGGGTGAGTACAGCAATCATTCTGGTAGTTTTCCTGTGCTGCAAAGTTGACATGGCTGAGGCACTAGTAACAGCGCTACAGAAAAGACTTTGGCATGGCTCACTGCCCACAGAGAAAAAATAACTTTGAGGGCTCAGCCCAGTTTTACATATTTTGCATAGACCTGGGCCATTTACATGATCTAGCAGAAGAGGTTTCATGCTAGAAATCTGTAGATAATGATGATAAAGAAACTAGCTCCTTATTTGAATTTTAAAAATTGTGCCCTCTGAATTTTTTTACTTTTTGCTTTAAGTTAATAATAAAATAACATATTATGAACAAGCTAGCAGCAACAAATTTTTGTAACCTTAATAAGGATTGCATTTTGCCTTGTTCTTTTCCCTGTTAGAAAAAATTATAAATTGTTTTAAACTGAACATCATAAATAAATGTACATGATATAGGATATAGGTTTCTGAAATCTCCTCCAAGAGTTGTATTTAAATGTGAAAATTTAATAGAGGGGTCAGTCTCTTGAGTCTTTAGTCTCTGCTAACCCAGTGCTTTGATGACATATTAAATTGTTTCCAAAAAGTATTTGCTTTTATCAGTATCTATGGATACGTCAGATTGGCAGATACTATCTGATTTATCTTGTAGGATTCTAACATCACAAACATTTTTGCAGTAATCTCTGCCAGCACATTTGTAGTAATTTTTTATACCAGAAAACATGGGTTGAAAGTATTTTAGTGGGGTCCAGAAGTATTAAGAAAATATTGTTATTTTTAAAAGATCTATGAAACTCAAGGAATGTTATGGGGTGTTTTTTTCTTAATATTTGGTTTTTGTTTTGTTTTTCATTTTTAAGTGCTATTTTTCTACCTAAATTGTAGAATGTGTCAAGTAATTTTATTTTTATTTTGTAGTTAGGTACAAAGTTACTTTGTATTTCTGACACACAGCTCATTTTTGGAAGCTATACCAGGAGCAGCGTTAACATTTTCTGATACCTTAGTTTAGTATTTCTGTCATGCCCGGAAATGTAATTATTACAGCTAAGCATTTATATTATAGTAGAGAGGCGAGGTGGGGGTTCATTAGCCTGATTGAGAGAGGTGTATGTGATATGCATTAGAGGAATGCTCTAGCACTGCTTTTCTCTTAAAGCTAGGGACCTCGTCCAGTTTATCTTGGATCCTTCAGCATACTTGGCATAGACAGTGGTATTCACTGTTGAAGAGCTAAGGGCTTATTAAGAGACTCTTCCTCACACTGCAGTAAACCATGTGTGTATATTTTTTAATCTGTAGGAAACCTGCACTAATACCACATGTTCTGTTTTCTTTTTTAGACTACGAAAAGGAAGCGTGGCTACATTAAAAATAAGCTTGTTTTTAAGAAAGGCAAGAAAATATCTAAGAAGACTGTTTAAATAACTGTTCTGGTTCCTAACTTGAAGCAGTTGTCCTTGGAGAACCAGTCTTTGCCTTTAGCTCATGTCATGTTTCACAGCAACAGAAGGTACAGAACCACCACTGATCCAGGTTAATGTTCAAAATTTCCTGGCAATGCCTGACTTAAAAAATAAAATTGGCTTATTGAGAACAGCTGTTTTCAACTTATAATGTGAAGCAAGACAGAGCACTGCTGTAAATGTCTAACAGCAGATTTTTTTTTTTTATTGGTACATATTATCCTTCAAATCTGAGAATTTGGACTAACTGCACCAAAGAACCCTCTAATTTGGTCCCTGGCACATGCATACTTATTAATGTTTTTATTCTTTTACAAGACCTGCATTTTATTTGACTTACCCAAATAGCAATATATAAATTACGAATGATAAAATGTGATACAAGCTCCTTGAACCACACTAGTAAACTAGTACAGGTCTAAGAAAGAGGTATTAGAAACGTAATTATACTTCTTTGAATTATATTTATTTTCATGTTTCTCCAGTTCAAAGAATGTTTCATCAAATGCACATTTCCTGTTGCTTACTGTTTGCTCTAAGAAGAAGCTGCTGTTTCAAAGATGAACCTCTTGAGTAACTAATTGATTCAATTAGGTGTTTGTTTTTTTATGTTGGCACATTATTGCTGCTGTTAGCAGTTGTTTTCACCAGGTACTTACAGAGCAGATCTCATACATTGTTCATTCAAGGGCTAAATTTATATCCTTTGGAAATCATGGCAACTGAACAGAATGTTGCTTACCAGGATGGGGTTTATGGGGTTTGTATCTCAGCACTGAGGTTTAGCACTATGTTTACATGTAAAAGATTAAGGAAAAAACCCTAACGTGGACAAAGTTCATTATCTGTGACTTCAAAGTGACAAAGGATTTTTAAACTTTGCCTGTTCTTCTCTCATTTTATATAACAGTTTCATTTATCATAATGATTTTGTCCTCTTCTCCATATTGTTTTAATCCCGTAAGCATTTGATGAAACACTCTTTAATGCTATTGGAATTTTCTTACTTAAAAGATGTGACAGTTGTCAAAAATGCACTAAAATATAAATGGAGATTGAACATGTTCTCTTTCCAGCTTTTAGGCAACTTTATATAGACTTGAACATTTTCTCCAGTTGTTTAGTAAACGTGAAAGAGAAAGGGTTTTTCCTGCCACAGGATATAACTTTTTTTATATAAACAAACATAACTTACACCACTGCTTTTGGTGGAAAAGTGCAGAATAAATAGTATGTACCTTTTATGAAGAAAAGTGTAATTTACAATATTCAGTGAGAATGTTACTGCTGATTTTCTTTTCCAAAGTGTAGAATATTCTTTGATTTATAGGATTCATTTTTGACCCAGATGATGGTTCTTTTACAGATGGCTGAACATTTTCACAAATAAAGTGTAACTAAATCTGGATTTCTGATACTTTGTCATTTGGGGGATTTTAATTTACTTTGTTGCTTTAAAACTCAATGCAGAGAAGTTGTTGACTGTAGGGAAAATAAAGTTAATTCAAATTTTGTGTTAAGTGTGTTGTCTTTTACAAATCTTCTGTTTTTTTAAAAGGAGTTAAAAGCACTGAACATACACTTCCTTCCTTGTTCACTTACAACAGTTTTATTTAGAGAATATGTATAGAAAAGTGCTAGATTCATTGAACTTTGCCCTACCATTTTATTTTGCCTCAGAATGTAAGTCTCTTTATGGGTAAGTGAGGGGGAAAACACCTAAGGACTTAGCTAAAACCCTGCTTCATAAAGTTGTGATATTTAATTTGTCAGCTCTTCACTGTAAAATTTTCTCTTTAAGAGCAGGAATGATCTCTCACCTTTCTCAGTTTTAGAGAACACCACTTTGGTCCAATAGATTGCTTCAATAAAACAGCATCATGTAACAGCATTTGTGATTTTATTGTAGCAGAAAAACAAAAATTATAGTAGTTTTAAACACAGTGGAATATAGAATAATTGGCTCAGAATATTCTTTAGCTCTCTAAATTCGTTTCATGTATGATCAATTACACCGAACATTACAGAGGGGTGTATTAAATACCAAGACCTCCAAGGTTTAGATTATAAATAGCTTTTATTTTTGTTCCGCATCTTGGAATTGAACAAAGCTGAGTTCTTCACAGTATAAATTGTAGGCAGTGAGGCAGCAAGTTCAAAGATAAAGTATGCCTTTGAAATTTAACATTATTACCTACTTGAGTCCCTAGGCCATGGCCAAGAGGCCAGCATCTTTCCATAGCTAAAGAGCTATAATAGCATGAAATCTGCAGCTACTGAGCCTTAAAAATTTTTTTTAATATATAACCAAATTTACAATCTTAACCATTTTTAAATGTGTAGTTCGGTAGTATTGAGTACATTTACATTGTTGTGTGGCCAATCTCCAGAATTTTCTTGCAGTCGCTATTTCTTGAATGGTGGGTTTTGTCAGACATCTGCCTTGATGTTCATAACATTCCATTGAGGTAGGTGGAGTAATGGATAAACGTAGAACTTAACAGCTATGTGTAATTGAGATGTAGGAAATTGAGACTGACAAACCAGTAAGGAAATGTCATGATGTCTACTATTTCTTTTAAACCTTTAAATTGTGAAGTGTGACAGAGAACACAAAAATGTGTACACAGATCAAGCAACTCTGTAACCACAGCCCTAGTCAGGAGAACAGAATGGTGCCAGCACTCTAGAAGCCCCTCGCAGTCATAGGCCTGTCCCACTTCCTCCTCCAATGCTCAGCTGTCCTTGCTTTTAAGGTAATTACTTAGATTTCTGGCTTTAATGCTTAATATATATCTCTAAACATATTAATTGTACCTATTCTTTCGATAATATAAATGCAATCAAAGTATTTTTTTAACCTTCAGTTTTTGTGAAACTCATCCAAAATATTGCATGCAACTATAAGTTTATTTTTGCGGATAGAAAGTATTTCCTTACCTCCCCAACTCCCTCCCCCCCACATCCCACTTTACCATTGATGTATTATATATTTGCACTGCTTTCAGTTTGAGGATGTTACAAATAAATTGCAGTTGAGGTAGGTGGAGTAATGGATAAATATAGAAATAAGTATTCTTTTATATCTTGGATTTTCTATGCGTACATTTTTATGAGTTTTTACCTAATAAAGTAGAATCGCTAATTATAACATGAAGGTTTTTGTTTATCTTTAATTTTGCTTCTGTTCAGTTGAGCAATGGCTTTTAATTGTTTTCCTTTTCTGATACCAATGTGGTTGGCCTTTTGAAATCTCCTTATTTATAAGGTTTTAGTTCTAATCCATTTTTCTGTTGACTTTTTTTAATATATTAATACAAGTTGTTTCTTACAGTATGCCTAGGAATTTGTTACTTGAATGTCTTCTTCAATCTTTTGTGTACCAACAGATTTCTATCCCCCTTTTAAAAACTTTTTTCCTAAGTTGAGGTGTGAAGATAGTCTCTTGTATTCTTTTCCAGAAGATTTATTGTTTTTATCTTTTATACTTAGAATTTCATTTGTTGAGTGCGGTGTGAATTTTTTGTTTAGGGTTTTATTTGGTATGCATGTGTATGCCTAATTGTCCATGCATAATTTATTGAAAAGACCATCCTTTTCCTACAGCTGTGCAGTACTCCTGCAGTAAACCAGGTGTCAATGTGAGTGTATTCTTGACTCTGTTGTATTCATAGTGTTTGTTGACTTACATAACTTGAAGATATAATTAAGATATGGAAAAGCAAGTCCCTCTCCCTTCCCCACTGTGTTCTTTTAAAGTCTTCGTTGTTTATGAATCACAGCGGGGAGGGGAGGAGGATCTGGGGGAGATAATAGATCAACCGAAGGACTTGTATACATGCATATAAGTACAACCAATGGACATAAAACTCTGGGGAGGGAGGGGATGTATGGGAGGGAGGGAGGAAGGGGGGCAAAAAAAATCAATAAAATATGTAAAAATAAATAAAATAAAATCCAACAAGAAAAAATAAAGTCTTCGTTGTTTATGGCCCTTGGTTCTAAAACTTACATGAAAAAAAACTGAAGTTGTCAGTAACAAGAAGAAAAAGCTTTTTGGAAAATTAGCACTTTTAAAATGAGTCTTCTATGAACATGGCATATTCTTTGATTTATAGAGGTCTAGATCATCTTTAATTTGTTTTATAGTTGTTAAATGGGTCATGCACATTTTCATAAGTTTTATTACAAGGTATACATTACTTTCGATAAATGCATTATAAAATTTTATTTTCCAATTGTTAGTATTTAGAAAGTTTAGTTTTATATATTGAGATTGTACTCAATAATTTGTTAAACTCATTCTAATAATCAGGTTATTTTTATTAAATGATGCCATCCTAATTGGGGAATTGCAGTTTAATTTTCTAATGGTTATATGTTTAATTTTCTTGCTTTTGCTGCACTGGTTAGGACATCCAGTATAGTACTAAATAGAAAAGGTAAACTCTTTTGTTTTCTTCTCTCACATGGGAAATTTTTGGTATTTCACCTGTGTGTTTTAATCTATATTTTTCTGTGGATATCTTTAGATTAAAATTAGATTGAGAACATATTTTTTTCACAGTTGGTTAATGAGTTTTTATCATGAAAGAGCTTTATCAAGTGATTTTTAAAATTTATTTAGATGATTTTGGTTTTTCTCCTTATTCTGTTAACATAGCAAATTAGAGACTTTTTGTTCACAGTATAAACTAAATTTGCATTCCTGGACTAATGATCAGTGCTTGATAGAATTTGTTGGTGTAAACCATTTGTGCCTGGATTATTCTTTGTGCATATGTTTTTAATTACATATTCAATTATTTTAGAGACACAAATGTTTTTTTATGTCAGTTTTGGTAAGTGATTTTTTTAAGGAATTTGTCCATTTCATCTAAATTTTCAAATAGATAAATGCGAAATTATTGCTAATATCACTTAATGGTTATTTTAATGTCTGAATATTTTATAGTTGA